TCTGCTTATTTCAGTTGGTAAGCATAAATACGTTTTAATTTAATTAATTTCAAAAGAATTGGTGTAAGCTTAGTTTACGTTACCTGTTATGACATTTGAGGATAGAGGAATAAAAAACCAGGAAGCAATTAATCGTAAACCATTTCATCTTAATTGGGGGAATACTAAGCATTTTCCATCTGCGACTCTGTAACTCAACTGAAAACTTTCCGGTCCTATTTCGATCCTCGTATAACCAACCTTCATTAATATAAATATTAATACATTTTTAGAGTATTCAGTAAAGAAAAAATAGGGTTGTATTGCTCATCCTCTACCGTAATACTTAATATATATATATATTAGGTCAGTTCTCACGATCTGTTCGTTGTATAGCGTATGTGCTAGTTATACTTACTTACTTACGCCTGTTACTCCTCGTGAAGGAGCATAGGCCGCTCACCAGCATTATCCATCCAACCCTGTCCTGCGCAATCCTTTCCAGCTCTTTCCGGTTGTTATTCATCCTTTCCGTATCTGCTTTTATTTCCGACGCAATGTGTTCTTTGGCCTTCCTCTTTTCTACTTCCCTTCAGTATTCCAAGTTAGGGCTTGTCTCGTGATGCAGTTTGACGATTTGCGTAGTATATGTCCTATCCATTTCCATCGTCTTTTCATAATTTCCTCTTCAGCTGGAAGCTGGTTTGTCCTCTCTCACAAAATGCTGTTGCTGATGGTATCCGGTCAATGGATGTTGAGTATCTTGCGTAGACAGCTATTTATAAATACTTGTACCTTCTTGATGATATTTGTAGTAGATGTGGAGGTTTCAGTTCCATACAGTAGAACTGTCTTGACGTTCATGTTGAAGATTCTCACTTTGATATTGGTTGAAAGTTGTTTTGAGTGCCATATGTTCTCCAACTTTAGGAATGCTGTCCTTGCTTTGCTAATCCTCGCCTTTACGTCTGCATCTGAACTTCCTTGATCATCGATGATGCTTACCAGGTATGTGAAGGATTCTACATCTTCCAGAGTTTCGCCATCAAGAGCGATTCGATTGCTGTTCTCCGCTTTGAATTTGAGGACCTTAGTTTTTCCTTTGTGTATGCTGAGACCTACTGATGCAGAGACTGCTGCTACACTGGCTGTCTTTGTCTGCATCTGTTCGTGTGTATGCGATAGGAGGGCTAGGTTATCTGCGAAGTCCAAATCGTCTAATTGATTTTGGGCTGTCCATTGTATTCCGTGTTTTCCTTCAGATGTCGAGGTCCTCATAATCCAGTCGACCACCAGGAGAAAAAGGAAGGGAGAGAGTAGACAGTGTTGTCTGACTCCGGTCCTTACTTGGAATGTGTCTGTCAGCTGTCCCCCATGCACGACCTTGCACTTTAGTCCGTCGTATGAGTTCCGGATAATATTGACAATCTTCTCAGGAACTCCGTAGTGTCGAAGAAGTTTCCATAACGTCCTCTTGTCTACACTGTCAAATGCCTTTTCATAATCGATGAAGTTGATGTACAGTGACGAGTTCCACTCAACTGATTGTTCGACGATGATGTGCTAGTTATGGTACCGTAATAATCTTATAATTTTGCTCTCATACATGGACTTTTATATATCAGCGTTTCGTCTTACCAGAATATATATAAGGATGAAGAGGTGAACGGAGTGGACGTTTACCACCTGATAAAATAACATTTGTCAGTAATTCTCAAGATTTAAAATGTCTGCCTACAATTATATTCGTAATGACTTCAAAAGATTCATTATATACCTTACTAACTACCTTCAGGACTCTTTTCAACGATAGCATCTTTCCTTCAAAACCCAGGAAAGAATGATAAGGAAAAATAATTAATAATAGGTAATGCACAAAAATTTAAACATCATAAAATTAAATATTGAGTAATACCAAAAGCCTATAACAAGTCAGACGGAAAACATTCTTCGGCATTAATTTTATATACATATATATTTACAGAGAGGATGACAAGGTAGTTTGTATTGAACTCTATCTGTATTTAAGAAAGTAGAGAATACTTCACTACAAAATGACATGACTGTCGATTGAATGAATTATTTCATGGGATGAACTTCAACAATGTCATCGTACATCAGTTACATGAGTTCACAAGTATTTATCTATATGTATATCTGTTCTGAGTTTTACTCATAAATTTCCCTACTATATTGATTAGATAAATTAATCATTGAAAGATGTAATATGAATTAGTGTTTACAGATGAAATCAAGACCAAATGTCGACAAGGGAATTTTCTAAAATTGCGTCATAAAGGGTGCAAAAAAAGCTAGTCAATTTTTGAATAGTTTTTATTACGATGTACTCGATTTTGTGTCATATGATGTCAATTATTTAGTCATTTAAGTTAATAGAAATCAACTGTTTTTGAACATTAATTGGAAACATCACCCTCATAATTGTTATGGTTTGGTTTTGAGAATACTTTAAACAAATTTAAACTGGTGTAATGTAGTAAAGAATGACAAATAATGTATTCTGACTTAAAGAGTGGATTGAAGTTCCTTACATCTTTTGAAATATATAAAGCACAAATCATTTTAATAATTGTAATTGTACGTAATCTACCTTATCATTATTTAATTCCATTAATCTCTACAATTATCACACAATTTATGAACTTCACTAAATTATTACACCACCCACCCTGGATTAACCCCCCCTCTTTTGACCTCTGGCCTGTTTCTAGCATATATATATATATAGTTATTATTGTAATCAAGTTATTTACACTCATTTATGTCAATTGTTTCATACTATCTCCATGTAAAAATTCTATCACAATTTTGGTTTGTAAGCAGCTGACGAGAACCTCGAAATAATATGAATTCATACTATTCTGCATCAATGTTTGTTCTTGCTCTATTTTAATTGTAAAGTAGTTTGTTCGTAACTGAATAAGCTCTGTTACTAGGATATACAGGTAGATTTTTCATAAAATCCGTTATAGATTGAATAATGGCCGCTACAAAATGAGCGAAGGGACCAAGGGATCTTGAGGAACTCAAATCAACAGTTAAAATAATGTGAAGTAGTTTATTGAAACGAAATAGATGATACATACACTCTATTTTTTGTTTGGAGAGGTTAGGTTCAAATCGCTTGGCATAAGTAACCATGGTACCCTGTATGCATAATTGTCATCTTGACTAAGATCCAGAACTGTCGCCCTTTTATAAAGAAAGATTGAGTTCCTGGCATATAATCATGAGAATATATTCATAAGGTTTGATAAAAGCATTATTCTTGATCAATACTTTTTCAGATGCATTTGTTTTATAAATAAAATTGGATCTGACGTAGAGAGAACACCCATTTATTCCAATTTCCGAACCCTTTACAATTGTACTCTCAAACCAAACTTTCTGAGGAAGTTCCAAGTCCTTTGCCCTTTGGTCATTCTGTGGATCCCTTATTTTGAACACAAGATGGATAGCAAATCAGTTGCTTTCCAAGAGTTAGGTTATTGGTTGTTACATTTATTTGTCTCCCATTTTTCACAACCATCTTCGTTACCATTAACAATTAGAGGATCTTTAACGTTTTCCAGACAGAGAATTCTTACTTTACTTAAAAGTATCTTGAATGATTTTAAGTTATACTAATCTTTGTTTAAAAGAATTATGTTTAAAATTGAGTCGAAAAATGAAGTTAGAGATCTCATCATTTGTTTTAGTAGTTTTAGTAACAATAGAGGGAGATTAAAAACGAAAATTAGTCTGTATCAGTAATTGACTATAAAGTGAGAAATGTTGGAGACTGAATTCTAACTTATTAGTCTTAAAGCTAATGTTTGCTGACCATGAAATTTAAAGGTCCTGAATATGAACCAGTATGGAACTGATCGTAAGAGTGCACTACTACACTCCATCGACTTTAAAGCAGCTGACTTAAACTGAAACTCTCCCTCTCTGATGTCTTGTGTTAATATTTTCGAGTTTATACTTTAATAACTAAATTTGTTTCAATAGTTGAAATCATGAGTTAATTGAAGCTTGACCATGATGGAAAACCTGGAAGCATTGGACGACCGTTTCGTCCTATTGTGGGACTCCTCAGCAGTGCTCATCCATGACCCCGCCTCGAGGGATTCCAGGTTTTCCATGGTGGTCTAGCTCTAACTGACCCATGATTTCAACTATTGAAATTACTACAATCTCCACAAAACCCCTTCAAATAAATATAAATTAACGTACTCAAAAAAAATCCTATTTTAATTTTCCCATCAGGTTTAGACATCATGTGATTCCTCTCTCTTTGGTTAATGAAACTTTTCCATCTATTAATGATGATAATGATCTCAATACAAGAATGTGGGATATGTTTATTATCTGGCAAGGTCAACTAAATACACCACATAATGATGATCAAATAAATTTTGAACAATTAGATATTTCTTTTGATCATACAAACAAGTCTGTATCTATGGCATCTTTCCATATGAATCCTAATATCACTACTAATACCTCACAAATAAATGAAGGTGATACTTCCGTTGTCGCTCATGAGGATAATGAAGATTGTGACAACACGGAAAATGATATTACACAAATGAATGATAAATTTTCACCAGTCTCAACTATTTCAAATCTCCTACACATTGACGATAATAAATATTATGAAGATTCGGCTTATCAAACATTGTATGCTGATGATAATATCGATCATATAAAATGGGATACACAATCTATTATTGATTCTCATGAAACATTTGGTATTTTATCAGAGGTGTCTTCTATGCAGATAAAACAAACTCCAATTGATTATGATGCTCAATCTTTACTGGATTCTGACAATACGGATAACAGTGTTGTCTGTATGAAAACTAATTTACCAAGAACTGATGAATGTGACGATGTTATTAATAATAATAATAACAATAATAATAGTAATATTAATGATAATAATAATGAGGAATTGTCCATCCTATCAGAAGAGCCTGAACTCCACCATAATGTTGATTGTTGTAACTCATCTCAGTCTGATTACAATGTATTAGATTCAATAACAAGTTCCCTGTACAATATAAATGATACTGATAATAATATTAATCACTTTAATAATAATAGTAACAATATAGACGAAATGGATTCAAGAGATAATCACATGGTGGAACGTAATAATCATCATGAATTAATGAATAATGAAAAGTCACCATTCATACAATTTAATTTCATTAATTCATCTCTTACTCAATTGGAAAATAAATTAAGTCGTATTTCACTGGAACTTGAAGAAATGGAAACAAATGAACACCTTAGTGATGAATATATCAAAGAAATTGACAATATTTTTCAATTATTACTTTTGATTAAAAAAGATACTTCACAAATTGATTACATAATATCAAGTTGGAATATGAACAGATGTTTATCAGAGAGTGATGATTATGTAACTCCTAGTACTATAACTATTTTATATAATGAGTATACTGATCTATCACAGTTAACTGGAAAAGTAGAACCTACGTTAGAAATAAGTCCAGGTAATTTGATTTGTATTTATTTTACAAGCATAGTTTCATTGAAGGATGTATACAGTTTTTGTTTTAGTTTTCGTTGACGGTAATGAAGTTTTGTAGCTCAGGAGAATAATTTTATGAAGTTGAATTCTTTGAACTAGATGATTCTTTTCGACACTATCATTCACTTAAGCTCTGCAATCGTATTTATCGTTAATTTATAAATAAAATAGCAGAACGATTACATCATATTGTGTTAAAGAAATTTGTTCAACGATCGATAATTTAAGTAAATATGGTAAGCTAAAATTAAATGTGAAAGATAATTGCCTGCTTGACGAGTATGAGAAGAGGGAAGAATAAATTAAAAACTTCGAGGTAGTAATAACAAATAATTGATAATAAAGTGATTAAAAACAATAGAATGATGTATCAGCAATCAGATTATGACACTCCAGTTCATAAGCCTGACAAAACAACTCTAGTCAACACTGGTTTAATGCTTTTAGATCTGACAGACAGGAAACATTTGGAAACATGCACTTGAAAATTATAGTGAGTTTACTATTTTCCTATTGAATTCTGCTCAATGTCATTACTTTGAAACATACCTTGTATCATATCTAAAACTACTTACATTAGATTATTTTTGTCAAGAAAATGTAATCCGAATGTGATTAGTAGAATATTCGTGAAATACTACACCCTGTTGTTATAAAATTAATCCTTTATTAATTCAATCTCCTGTAACATCCATCAGTAATATGATTCTTTCATAATGCTTGAATTATTTCATTTCATTCGGATTTTAAATCATCTACTCATCACTTAACACGTAAAGCTGAAGATAAATAAAAGATTTGTTCATAGATATAGTCTTCAGTGTTAATTCCAATTAAAAGAATCATGCAGATACTAAAGTACTGTTGTAATTAAAAAAAACCTACACTTCCAGTTTGTTCATACAGTGATAAAAATTTCTTTTTTGTAGTTATGTAAAATACAATATAACGTTAGTAATCATGGGATTTTCGACATCTGTGTTAGAATATGTTTTAATGGTTTTATTTGACTTACAAGATCTAGTACACTGGATAGAAAATTAGCAAATTATTTACATAATACATGATTAGTGCTTGTATTTTATGTAGGTGAATAAGCCCACTTAAATTAGATGAATGAGGTTCAGTTTATTTAAGGAACTGGTCTGGGTACTGAGAAATGAGAAGTTCAGCAGTGAATCATGTACATATTCTAAATTTGTGGATGCATATTCAATACAGAAATAAATTAGACGGAATTCGTAGTTTAAATTAAATTGAATTAGGTTAAAAGAAATATATTTAAATTAACATTGAGTAATTGGAAGAAAGAGGATTATTAATAATCAAAGTAATTATTTAGTCAAGACGTTGTTACGTTGTGTAATATATGAAAAAGAGAAAAGGAACAGAATTTTTTTAATGGATGGTCAATAGGATAGTAGTTACGCAAGAATCAAGAGATGAGTGTTGAGAAGTTATAAAGTTCAAAATAACAGAAACAAAAAATAAGTGGAAGAAGTATGCAAAATAGTTCTTTTGAAGCAATGTGTAAGAGGCCTCTTGCACATAGCGGAAGCCATCACGATCCATATTCACAAACCCGATCTTTGCATTCAAAAGAGATTCGTACAACCACTTTCTCTACCCTGGCCATCAGTATAAGATTTCCTTCAAAAGAACTATTTTGCATACTTCTTCCACTTGTTTTTTGTTTCTGTTATTTTGAACTTTATAACTTCTCAACACTCATCTCTTGATTCTTGCGTAACTACTATCCTATTGACCATCCATTAAAAAATTCTGTTCCTTTTCTCTTTTTCATATATTACGCAACGTAGCAACGTCTTGACTAAATAATTACTTTGATTATTAATAATCCTCTTTCTTCCAATTACTCAATGTTAATTTAAATGTCATTATGTAATTATTACGTAACGTATCCACTCGATAAGGATTATATCATTATTGTAAAAGAAATATAAATTAATAAGATTTTATAACGAAGTGTAAGATAAAGTATTTCCAAAGTTAGATAATACAAATCGTTTTATACATCACTGGTTGATAGGATAATTAGTGCCAGACCAACAACAATGATCGAGAGAACTCTGTTGTCATGCCGTCAATCGTTAGCATTGTAGGACACAATTGTATATCTATCTAAGTTGTTACTCCTCATGTCAGTACATCGGGCGACATAAATTACCAAATTGTGAAATGAATGGAGAGAATTGTTTATATCCATCGCACTTTATGATAAAATCTTAGAGATATAACTGAAAAAGTACATACAAGATCATAAAATGAAAGTATCGGGTGAGATGGGATTGAATATTTTTTGAGTAAGATAAGGATTAAAGTAATTCGAAGATAATTTGGCGTTTTCTGTTCATCACTGAAGTTCTAGTTTACCTTTAACAATAAACATATAGAATCAAGAAATATCATAATTACATTTTTTATAATCAAATTGTGCTATATTCACACTGACCTGTGATCTATCGTTTACATTTGAAAGTTTACTTTTATGTACATTGGCTTCGTTCTAGCTTCTTTTTGTCACCAACAGTACCGTACAACATATTAGATTTGTATCGAGAAAATCCCCATTACACTAAAGCACACATAAATATATATAACAGGTATATTAATTTCAATAAATACTTACCAGTGTATGTACAGTTGGTAGTTTAAATTAATTGTCCAAAAAACTAACATTTCGAATTAGCAATAATTGGTTGCATGAAATAACAAGATGAAATCAACCATATGAAATGTGTTCGATCAGAATTCATGTAATGCAAGAAACTATGAATTCTTATTTTGACTGACAACTCGATTCTAGTATTACAGTGCATGCCGGTCACATCAGGGTTTACAAACGCTAACAAACAATCTTCATGTACGTGTTATGTTTTCTTAATAATAAATATTCCCCTTATTCATTTTCGTGGTTTTTGTTCTGCTACACTAGCAGTAAGCCCAGTAACTCAGCTGTTACATTTATCAAGTGATTAATAAACTTCACAAATCCTCACGTTTCGTAACCACTAGTCAGAACACCAGAAAGCTGATGAGTGATGATACCATTTTGTGTCTCATACTGAACTCACTATTATGTAAGTACAATACGAGACTACAGTTCAACACAACTTTAAATCGTTAAGGTTTACTATACTTGTGTTTTCTGTATCGAGCTGTGCTGCAATAGACATGTTCAATACATACAGTTGCACTTAACTCCAACCGTTAAAAGATACCTTGCAATTAGGGCTATGTAGAAATATAACTGTTTGATAGATACTCATTTATAAACGTTCAAACTAGTTCACTAGAGAGTACTTACTTAAGGTTTTCCTCTTACCACATCTTAACAATGAGATTATGATCACTAGGGCGGCCTGCTTGAGCATCTGGGCTACCTGTTCCTGCCACCTAGATATTTCAACAAGTTATCTATTTTTGTTTGTTTTAATATATCATTATGTTTATTAATCGCATAACCTATTCTGCTGCGTTTCTGAAAAGTGTACAACCTTTCGTTGTCAAAGTTACAGAAAACTCAATAAGAGACAATATGGTTGCTGGCAATGTACAACGAAAAGAATGTACATTATTCAGTTTTTCATTCACTGAAGTGCTAACATCTAACTGGCGATTCCTCAATATTTATCGCCAGGACCGACCAAGAAGAAAGAAACGGAAACTTGTTGAAATACTTTGCGCTGAGAATTCTATATTGTACCAAAATTATAATATTGAATAAAGCTAATAATAATAATAATAATAATAATAATAATAATAATAATAATAATAATAATATGTCAGTCACCAGTTGTAAGTGCTTGTAGCTGTCCTGTTGGGTAAGTCTGTTAACATAGACAATTGGACGGGTGGCAATATTTGAAATTTGTAACATTCAATATGTTGTCCCTTCTCTAGTAGTGATTAACTTTATTTAAACCTTATTTTGTGCTCAGAAGAGAATTATCAGGGTCATATTGCTACACGTTTATCAACATTGAAATGTTTACGTGCTGACTTGATGAAACGCTGTGATAGGTTAGTTGAACGCCTAGAGAAGCAAACAAGCAATTCTGCAGTAAATGTAAATGAAGAACTTGATTTTATCAGTCAGAATTTAGTTTCACTTGCTCATAAGCTTGACGATCCTGACAATAATGACTCATCAAATGATACTGGTCTGTCAACAATTGCCGATAAACTAGAGAAACGGATTACCGATTTACAAGAAATTCAAAAAGAATTCACATATATTGAAGAGAATTTACAAAGGTTAAAGTGTACACCAGCAACGGATTCACTATCTTGCAAATCTATTGCCAAACTTGATTGTATTGAAAGTGAACTAAATGACATGCAAATTAATTTACGAAACCAGATAATATATTTGAATAATTTTCACGAACAATACAGTAATTTAACAACTGCTCTTCAAGAAGAATTCAGTTGGATGAAACAACAAGAGAATGACTTAAATCTAAACAATATACGGTCAGAATCAAATGGTCCACAAGCGAATAATAATTATGATAATAATACTGGCCATCTAGAACAAGATATCACTGTTTTACACAATCTTATTGTCAAATTATCACAATATTATCACCATAAACTTTTACCAATGTTGGAAAATTATGATAAATTAATGAGCGATGGTGTTAGACCACCAGGAATAATTACATCTATATACAATGCTGAAGATAATGTATACCTATCAGTGAATATTCTTAATTTATGGGATAGAATAACTAAAGAGTTAATGCCAAGAAAATTCCATGAATTGGTGAGTTTATTTTTCACTGATAATCATAATGATCCATATTCGTAAAGGTAATTTTTAAATAACGAACTTGTGAGAGCTAGGGAATCTATCGAGAACCATTGACGAATTGGACAATATGTTTTATCCTAAAACTTAGTCTTGGGTTATGCCCCGTGTACTGGATGGTGAGTACATACTGCTCCGAGATTGTAAACTAGAAAGAAGTATTTATCCAATGTCCCTTGATTTTTTCTGTATGACTTTAGTTCATAATGAAAATTACCTTTGAAATATACCTTTCAAATATAAGCTAGATCATAACGATTAAAATCAGAAGTGTAAATCATTGGATTTCAACTCAGAGGTCTAAATATCAAGAGCAAGACCTAAGCATTCCTGAGGTCGATATTCGGTGAGTTCTTAGATGCCTACTACGAAAAAACACATGCTTAGTGTTTTCTTTGGAACATCGCCTTGGTGTAATTCGTAAAAATATTATCCATGAATGAATATGTGTTGTTTATGTTAACGGCTTAACATTGTCGTTTATCGCTAACATCTCCACCCATTCATTTAACGTTTATTTCCATAATTTTATAATTTCAAGTTCCTTGTCTGATACTTTATTTCCCCTCTTTTGTTGATTAATCTATCCAATGTTATGTAGATGTAAAATAGGCTTACTTGAACCTGTATATATTTGTACAGAAGACGACCTACCTGTCTTTATTTAACATTCTGATTAAGCTAATTCCTCTTGACACATAGATTTTGTAGAAGCACTGAGTTCATAGTCCACTTGCTTTGACTGATGATCCCATTTTTTAAACTGACAGTCCCAGTAAAACATAAAATATTAGAACAAAGCGATTACCTGTTCACATCAAATGTACATGGAACTTGGTATCTTTCTTAAAATTCTTAGTATTATTACATATGAGAGGATCAATACACGCAGCACATGAAGACATGATAATAAATTAATATCATAAGTCTTAATACAATTACAAAGCACAATCTTAGTAATTATGAACTTTTTATCAAATGGTGAACAACATAGTAGACTAAATTTTGCTGACCATATATAGATATTGTGCTAAGTAACACTTTAGTTCACAATATGAAATGTTTTTCTAACAACTTAGTGGTAATATTCAATTTAGTTTGATACTATGCCCTTAATACTCATGTGTATTATATTTAATTTTTTCTGTCTCAACTTTGAATAAATTATTTTGTCGGTTGATTAAAGCTAATAAATATTTAAGCTTAAATATTAACTTTATATACAAATTGATTGTGTTCACGGAGCCAAATCATCTAAGCAACGACATTTTAATTGGTTACTTATGGTAGTTAAAGCCTGTTTGTAATGGAAGTATAAGTTTGTAAAATTCTGTGTTTTATAGTGGAATCTCCTCGAAATAATTCCTATGCTTCATATATCACTCATCCTGATAATCATTATCAGATAACTTCTCAATCATGTGTACATTTCAGAAGATAATACGAAGCTCTGACTACAGTTTATTACTGTACAGCGCAGATCACTAAGCGAATACGAATAAAGATATAAATGTCAACGAGCGAATGAATGGGATTTAAGAAGCACATGCATATAAGCAAGCGAATGAATCACCGAGCAATTCGTGTAACTAACATTTTTTACTAGTAAGAGGAATATGTTCGTAGACTGTAACACGTGACCAAGTATACATGATCATAGAAGCATGGCGATAATATCGTAACGATATAACCAAGTTGTTACTGACACAAATGGCACTATCTATTAAATATTTTAATTAAAGAGCTTAATAAACTCAAGCTTGAATAAACTAATGTTTAGGTGAGTACTATGTCTTATATTCAGCTGTCTATCATACGCAATTATTTCAAGTTCGCAGTACCATTTGTAAATAATAATAAAAAAATAACGCCACTGAAATGACTCAAATTAGGTCACAATTTTCGAGTTATATCAGTTTATATCAGTTAATGAACTGTTGATCTGGGCTATGTTGGTACGCATTAAAATTACCATCAGTAGTTGGGGTTGTGTGACATTAACAGTAAAATAGATTCACTCTATATCTTACTGTAGATTTTAAACTCTGGTATTCCCTCATACATATCTTCTCATTTTGTCTTCTCGAAACATATTCTCAAAATATAGTCTTTCTCACTATCAAAACAATTTCAATTTCTTTGATATTCATTTTATTAATTTTATCTTATGTGTCTAATGTGGTATGGAGACTCGTGTGAACGCATATTTATGATTAATTGAATGACTGACCCATTAATAAGGTCTGTCATCAATCTTTAAGTTTAACAACAACTCTAAGTACAGTGGAATGATACTTTGAGATGGTGGAGAAGATTTGTAGCTCAGGTGGATGACTTTGATGGAGTTTTGTTCTCTGAGCTGAATCATGAGTACTTAGATCAAACTAAATGGCAAACATGATGATGAATTTCGACTTACTTTAGAAAAACTGAACAGTCGAACAAGCACGGATAGTGTTCAAACGTCAAAATATTAATCAAATTTTATTTCAATTAAGTAAACGATTATAACTTATATTGTACAGTTTGGGGCGTGTTCCTATGATAACTAACCCTAATTAATGACCTTAGTGCAGCATAAAAATTTGGGACAAATAATTGATTGAGTAATTGTAAATATTTATTGCTCAAATTATATTTCTGTTCTTTTAAAATAACTGTACAATTAAGTAGAAAGTTAAGAGCCATATTGATTGATGATTTCGGGTTATTTTAAAATGATTTTAATCAGAAATTTAACAATTACCAGGATTTGAAAAGATGGAAAACAAATGCTTGGTCGTTTTTCCAAATCTATACTTACTACTACTTGCGCCTGTTACCCCTTGTGAAGGAACATAGGCCCTCCACCAACATTCTCCATCGAACTCTGTCCTGGATAGTCCTTTCCAGTTGTTCCCACTACACCTATAACCCTACTAGGGCTACTACTGATCTCAAGACCGAGTAAAGGAGGAGGGTTGGGCATGGGGTCAGCATCCTTGCTAAAAAACGCTGACCAGAATAAACAAATCTATGGGACTTTGGTTATTGCTCAATAGATGTGCTAAACAGATGACAAAAGATGGATTCATTTTTACTGTCTGCTCACTTTTGAGTCTACTATTATCCCTTACATTTTATTTCTCTCTGATATCTTTTTAACTATATTACCTACGTTTAGTTTCCTGCTACTGTTAATATTATTATTTGGACCCACTTTTCGTATTGCTATTGGCTTCCCAATACATGGACATAATGTGAAAGAATGGACTGATTTAGATCTTTATAAGACCTATATTAATGATGACTGTCCGGACTTTTAGGCCATTCACACTACCAGTGAACTACGTTATTAACTGTTTCTAGAAGTTTCGTTTTCAAGTTAGAGGATATTAAACGTATCCCAAACTTGTCGTACAAACTCAATTACTCCTTAACTTCTATTATTAAATTTATTTTCTAGTGTTTATTTACCTCCGGTTACCAACGTTCACTTTTTTTAAAGATAGTTTGCACCACAGACTGACCCGAGCTAGACAGTCAATAGGAACCAGGCAGCACTAAATAGCGGTTCTGATCTCGTATGGAATTCCTGGACAATGCACACCCAGGATCCTTCTCAAAGGTAAAACTAAGTTCCCCTAGATCTCTAAGGTAGTATCAAGTGGGGCAAATTTTCACTTTCATTTAATTTACGCTTCAGCTCGACCATGATTATTCTGTCATGGATAGTGCCTGCCTCATTCCTAGCTTACATAATTGAGTTCAACGGCAACTCACTCTTAATGAAACTTCCTTCTATTCGTTTATTCTGGTGTTTTTTCGTATTTCAATTTGATTGTTTGTTTCTTTCACTGTCAACTATCTCAAAGAATGCTAACTTCAACTAATGCAATATTTATATGATCTATTCATTTCTAATTGATCGACCTGTCATTTGTTTTTATTAAAATGCACATTTTGTAATTGTACATATTATTTCATGTTTTGATTCCACTTTTAAGATTGCTAGATCATATGAACAAATAAATAGAAACTTAACATCAACTTTTCATTGTCTACCGACTTTACAATCATTTGAACTTTTATTTCCAAATGGTAATTTACCCAACTCGAATTCTCTTCATTGTCACGTAAATATCATTTCAGTAAGTATATGTTTATTAGAAGTAGTTATCATTTCATTTTATTAATTAATTGTTTAAATCATATATACCGGACAATTTTCATCAACTATCTTGTTAATTATGATGTTAAATTATTTTTATTCTTTGTACTCTGATTTGAGCCACAGTCTTTGTGTTAAAGATAAGTTATACTAGCCACCCAGCTGAAGTGATGAAGATAGAATGGGGTTCAAACCTTCTACCTGTTTTGGTGATTAGGACTCTACTGGAAGACGTTGATAACGAGATGACGTTAATGATAAAATTATGTTCGCTATGTTTTAGCATAGCATAAGATTTTGTTTGAAATTTTTATATCTGCATCATCTCTTAATAGATGTGTCGACTCCGTTTATTCTTACTGCTTTTACTTGACAATCGGGAATCACTGCAGAGTATGAAGACGAAAGACACTAGAATAATTTCTATGCTAGTTTTCGCACACAAGAATACTAGATACATAGAGTTACTGTAGAAGTACACGTACAATATAGCTTACCTGAATTGATTCAGAGAATATATATATCATACTGAACGAAGTTTATGCTTAATCGATTCAAGAAATGTTTACTTAAATAATGTATTTTTATCACTTCATATCAGAAATATAGGTGATATCTTAGTTATGTTATGGCCTTACCAGCTTGAGGTAACGTCTTCTTGCAAGGCTCTGAAAAACGTGTTTCTGAATGTGCAGATTTATTTAAACTTACAAATACACCTGGAGTATTTGATAAATACCAACAGTTACGAAGGTCGTAGCTACTAGATTTCCACAACTGTATTATTGGGTTGCTTGTACGATAGACGTTTAATTATTGCAGAAAGAAATAGATTATCATATAACTATTCTAATTATATATTTTTGGTAATTCATTTCACATCTTTACATTACTTCAATTTTCATTCTTTTTTTCCTAATAACAGGATCATATCAATATTATTCAAGGTGAAATTGACTGGTTGCATAAATATATTGAACCAATCATTATGAATGAAGATCGACTTAATTTATTTACAGATACTATTACTAATACTACTGATACTACTAATATTACTAATAATGAAAATAATATTGGAATCAGTGATCAAATTGTAAAATTCTATGAAGTTAATCAACATCTAACACAATTACTTAGTTATTTTACACAAATTTATCAACAATTATCTGTTTTCTACATACCGACTATGGACAGATATCATCAGACAATTGATCATGCGTTGACTTACATTAATACTATTCAAAATCAAGTAGAATTACTTCGAGAACTGGCAATATCTATCAAGGTTAGTGACAAGGATGATAAGGAGGATTGTGAAAGTACTAATTACGACGATGAACAAAATGAAAATGTAGAATGTGCTCTAATTACTTATGAAAAGTTAGAAAATCTATGTACTGGAAAACAACAGTGTTTGGTAAGTTTATGTAAATATTTGTGCTGATTTTAGCTAGTTGACCTTTTTAGACTCTTAGCGGAGATTTATTATCAAGAAATACACTTTCGATACCAATGCTCATATGCTGTGTCTAATGTAATAGTATTCTTGGAGCACAGTGTTTCTTAGTTGGATGCAGTCGGCAGGTAGCCGTATCTCTTTTTAATAATGAGTACCTGAAAGACTGGTGCTTCCAGTGGGATTCGAACCCATGTCACAGCCGGAGAAGTTACTTACTTACTTATACCTTTTAACTTTCCTGGAGGAGCATAGGCCACCCGACAGCATTCTCCATCAAACTCTGTCCTGGACAATCGTTTCCTCTTGTTTCCAGTTGCTATTCGTCCTTTTGATCTCTGCTTCCAATTCTCGGAGCAGTATGTTCTTTGGAGTTCTTTTCCATTTCTCTTTAGGATCCCAAGTTAGCACTTGCTTTGTGATGCAGTTTGGTGATTTCTGTAATTTATGTCTTATCCACTTCCAACGTCTTTTCCTAATTTCCTTTTCAGTCGGAAGTTGGTTCTCCCCTACAATAGGTTGTTGCTGATAATATCAGGTCAAATATATCGTCATGAATTCGAGTACCTCTGACGATGCTAGCGAAACCTATAATAAGCTGAACTCTGAAAATTTCTATACTGAGATGGTGGAGAAGATTTGTAACTCAGGTGGATGATTTTGGTGGAGTTTTGTTCTCGACCAAACCATCCAACTCAGAGAACAAAACTCTACCAAAATTTTTATACTGTACTACATAGGACCCTGATGGTTCTTAGTAGAACTAGTGGTGTATGTTTCGACATCATTATCATGATGTTTACAAATAATGTGTTTGAGTTATTTAGCCCCGAATGCCCTGGTACGGTCGAGCGTAAGGAGAGTCTGCTCTTCCTCTCGAGATGCTCTCAAATAGCCACGCGTATGCAGCCACTACCAGGGGAGTCCTACTCATTGCCTTCTCGCGGCGGGGGTGTTTACGAAATTGGGAGGATGAAAAGCGAATGTCCAGCGCTTTAACCGGTTTAATGGATATGGAAGATCCACCTAGGGGATCACGGGACTGCACCTCCTAACGTTACTCCACTACCTTGTGGTTCAGACCTTTAGGTCGAAAGCTCCGGGTGTGGTTTCCTTACAAAACCACTTACTTTGGTCTGGGCACCCGGGTAGTATCACATCCCACGTACAAATCAAGTGACTTGTGTTACGCATATGTATTCGATGCCCCTTTGTACCAGTATTTATGTATTCAAATAAATAAATCGACCGACCAGTTACTTTTAACAGGATTCAATGTAAAAAGGTCACATCATGTAGTTCTCAAAATTTTATGTCGATTACACTGAGTATAATGAGTTCCAGGAAATTAGTTGACTAAGTGATGCATCATCCAAACAATATGAATAAAATTGTACCAATATACAGCCTTATTCAAGTGGATATACATATTAACAGTCTCTGAGGATAAAAGTTTAAGTTATTTGTTCCTGTATAGTCTTCATGTTTATTGTAACACCTTTCATCCCACTTGTCGGTGATCTATCTGTGTGAAGTTTAACATTTCCTTAAATTTATTATTTTGTTCTATAAACTGGACACAAACAAACTAGCTTACTGGCCAATTTCTTTATAATTGACAATCGAATACAATTCTTTGTAGTTTAGGCGTAATTAACACCTGGATGATAGGTTCTGTTACAATCAAGAATGGTAGTAACCCAAAGATGAAAGTTATTTTCAATTTTAATGAGTAACCGTAAATGAAAATTGTGAAAATTCACATATATTTTGGATGGGAAGAATTTATTCTTTCCCATACAGTGTGAAATTAACGACATTCATGTCATACATGTCCAGACGTGCATGTACTTTGCAAATGCAACTGATTTTAAACAAAGGATTTAAACATGAAAGAGAATGAGTCATAAACTGTGGAATGAGAATAGATCAGACTGATCATCACGGAGTAACTAACTAAATTAATTAACTAAAGAACATAATCGGTTTATTAACATAAACTACCTACACTGATATTAAATGTGAAAAAATTTTTGTTTGCCAAAAGGTCATCAGGATGAAAGGTCAGTTACAAAATATTACAAATCATAGTATAGTGTTTATTGTTAATACTTACATCACATGGCTTTGATATACTCGATGTTAGGACAAAATAAGATTGAATTCTACCTAGAAAAAGATTTTTTTTCAGTTTTACTTCTAAGATTTTGTTTTCCAAATTTTTTTATTTCAAATAACTGCTAGCTTTGGGATCAAAAACACGCAGAAAAAAGTATAAAGTTACACAACTACTAATGAATTTCAAGTACGTTGGTGTACAACGCCGAAAGTTTTACTTAGTAACCACTGATTAGTATATATAATCATTGTGAACACGCAGTCTAAAAACAAGCTAATCAGTTGCCTAGATGATTTACAGGGCTGTGCCAACGGCGCATCAAATGGAATCCTGGACTCATTTAAAAGACATAAGTTTTCCGAGAGTAGAGGACGAGAATATCAAACTGTTGATTGAGTGCAACGCATCGAGCGTACACGAGATGAAAGAGATCAAGTTTATCAAACCAAATAGCTTACTTGTTCTGGCCAAACCAAGACTCTGTGCTCGACAGTCTAGAGAATAGCTTGAAGTTACACCTTTAGGAAACTGCTTCTTACAAAGTTGTGAAACACATATGGAGAAATTCGAACACTTCACTTCTATCTGAAGTTTGTGCTGATGATGTCGTTCAGAAGAACGATGAAAGCTCCATGACCAAACCATCGAGCTCAGAGAACAAAACTCCATCAAAACATACATATATTCAATTATTAGACCAATAAAGCCAGGTTATGAGTCACTGATAACAATGGAATAGATTACATAAATAAACATAATAAATAAAAAGTACAAACTTATATTGTGATCACTGACCTACTAATTGCGATAAGAATGACAAAGGCTCTAATCAATGTTAATAATAGGAGAAAGGTCAGTGTCTTGGAAAAATTGACGCTGAAATAAGATTTATTAAAATGACAAAATTACGTAATAAGTGTTCCGATGATTGGAGAGTAAAGTGTAAATTTGAAAAGGAGAGTAGAGTAAACATAAACGAAGCGTAACGAATCCTTATACTTTTGATATCACATTAATTTTTTCTCTACTATATTTACAATTATTTTATGTTTATTTGTCCTTTATTTAAATGGCCTTCAGATCGCATTGCCTTTAGTCATTTTTGATGGGATCAGATTGAAGACCGTTGCTCATTCTAGAGCATATGTTTAGACTCGGATCATGCTCTAGTTCGAGCACGTATTTGTTTGCACCTTACTGAACATAGAAAAGCCACAGTAAGAAAACCTATTGGAGTTCAAATGAACGATGGAAAAGTTGAGAATATATTTCAGAAACAACTAAAGGAGCTGGTTAACCGGGAAAAGGATACCCATCCAGAAATAGCTTGGCATGATATCCAAAAAACTGTGGAAACAGTAGTGATATTTACTGCTAACTTAAACCAAAAAGTTAGGAAAAATTAGTGGATTTCAGTGGCGTCTACAAAACTGATAGATACTCGGAAATTCATACCATCTGGTTCCGGACACGAGGAGCATAGGCAGCCAAAACACAGGCTGATAAAAAGCTTAACTATTGATGATGAGTAGTGGTGGTTAGTGACAGCAGAAGAGATGGAAAAGACAGTAGCGGTAGGTAAAAAGTACATCTGTTCAGATTGTCAAGGAAAGGGATATTAAAGATCCGGCTGTTAGTGCAACCGTCTAGGGAAAATACGGGACTGCTATTCATTCTCATTCCAGGTGATTGAACTAATGAGTAGAATACTTTAAGAGATAGTTCATCTGGGCCCCATTGACACTTTAGTTACCCACTATCTCCAAGCAACCTTAATGGCAAACTGATACAGTTCCTCTAATATTAAGAAATTTTATGAAATAAAGTTCTTAGCCTCATTCGCAAGCATTACAACAGTTCAATGTATTTTATTATTTCACAAAAATTCTCCCTAATATTTCAGTCTGAGTAACATCTAGTTGACGGTTTTGTTTACTTTATTGTGAAGTATATGGTGGTAGTAAAATGTATGCTGTTTTAGCACAGAAATCACAACAACTCCATCATTATCCTGAGCTATGAATTTTGTCCTCTACTTATTACCTTTACAAAGTCGGAGTTCTTACTTATGAAGCGTAAAGACAAATGATGAACGTCTGACACTTATATCAGGTTGGTGAATACGATTAGTCTACCTGAAAAAGTTAAATTCAAAACCAACGATGTCCATGGGCTCCAAGGTCCTGATGGAACAAATAACTCATAAATCTATTTTTGGTTCTCGGTTATCACGAGACAGCATTTCTTAATGCTATTCCGTTGCCTTGTGAATTAGGCCTCTGGGTTAAAGGCTTGGGTATATCCCCTTCAGGAAACCGCCTGTTTTGGTTTAGACGCTCGGGTAGTGTCGCCGCCTACACATGTATTATAACTGTGTAGCGCATACTAATTTCCCTGTCCAATTGTACCGTGTTTAATGTCTATTCAACAATTAAAAAATATATATAATAAAGCATAGAACTATTCAGAAGGCATCTTGGTGAGCTTGTTTTTTCTAAGCTATAAATCTTCCTTCTTAGCAATGGATTTCTTGTTTAGAAATAAATCATTTGTTTTCACTAACAGTTCTACAGCTTTTTCCACTTGTTGATTTTTGTCTAAATATGAGTAGGAACTATTGGAAAATGTTCAAAATAATCATCGAGCTATTATTGATGAACTTGTAAATATGGTCAAACAAATTCAAATTTCAATTGATGAAGTGATAAAATCCACTGACAACAGTCAAGATTATTCAAAGACGATGACGTCAGCAATGCCAGTCAACACAATAACAACCAGTACTTATTTGTCAAAACTACTGGATCCGATTGAATCAACATCACAAAGATTTCTGTATTTTATTTCAGAAATTCAAAAGATAATCTCTGAATATGATCAGTTGATTATTCATACAAGTACAAGACAAAAGTTAGTGCCTCAAGAATTATCTGTAAATGAGAATACACTGGATACATTAGATATGCATGGTTCGGAATTGTTTCAAGTTAGTTATATTAAGTTTACTGACATCCTTTTCAATGACCATATATTATGAATTTCAAGTTAAATTATTATACCCTGCTCAGTTTTTGAAACTGACCTATTATTGTGCATAGGTCGGTTTATTTGAAGTGATAAGCGATAATTATACCGACTAAGTAAATTCATTTTCTATATCATTATCCTTTTTCATGAAATCTACACACATACGGTAGGATTTGACAACACTGATATCAACTTTCATAGAACGCTAGGCTTGGATTACATGTATGCATCTACTAGATCTTGTAAGGCTTTAGGAGCTTATACTATGCAGTTTGTCTTAGTTCTTGTCTTATGTGTTAGAACAACCTATAAATCCCGATAATCTTTGACAATATTCAAGGGTATCATATTTATTATTTAATTATACGAATAATCGCCGTTATGATCTTTTTCTATGACATAATGTTTGCCAATGTTCGTTTCTAATGAGGACAACCAAACCAACCTATAACTTTATCTTATAATTATTTTATCTAGTTCTTCATATTTCAATCTATCCATAAATATCAGAACAGATGACTTTGCAATACCCGATAGATCATTAGCATCTAGTAAAACAGGATTAAATACTGAAACGATCCCATAAAGTGGCTTGAATATTACTTACTTCCTCTTTCGACAAGTGATTACAGTTACTACTTTTCCTTCTGTAACAAATGTGGCTCGCTTACAGTACTTAACTTATGACAGTTAGTGGCAAAGCATATAGAAAATCACTTTAACGTTCTATCTCTCTCTCTCTCTATATATATATATATATATATGTTCTTACTTCCCTACTAATTATAGGACGCTTGTATACCATCAGTTAATAATTATCAACACCATTTTAATGAATTCGACAAACAATATGAAGAATTATTAAATGAATCTTTGACAAATTCTTGGTCAGTTGTTCGTGATTATTCCCATTTGAATGATGAGAATCAATTGAATGGACAAACACTACTAGTCAATAATTTATCTCAAACAATTATTCACAGTGGTGATTCCAATGAAAGACATAATACAGAATTAATAATTCTGAACAATATCTTAAAGAAAATAGATTGTTTAGAAAGTGAGTTAATTCATACAGTGCGCTTTTCTTTTTCTTTAAATGATGGTTGATATCAATACTATTGATAAAAAGAATATGAATTCATTAAATCAGTATAAAATGAATTTTGTGTTTTGCTAATGTCTGTTAAACTTACGTATTCACATACTATGAACAACAAATAATGACAAGTGTAAATGTTGATCTATGAACGATCATTGAAACAGTCGTATAAAGATTGAAAGGTTGGTATCTCATTGAATGTTCACTGTTCTCTGAAAATAGATAAAGTATGAAAGAGTTTCTCAGTAGCTAAACCAAGATAAAACAATAAATTAAAATACCTGACAGTTGTCGAATTTAGATATTTTAGAGGTTGAATACATCTTACTAATTTTATCGAAATATGAATTATCGTAAATATGAAATGTCGAAATTGTTTTCGCCGTTTTATCATAAATGTAGTGAATCAACTCATGTTTGTTACATTATTTGTTAGCAGCCAAAAACATTGGATGCAATATCTTTGGAAAGGTGGACACTTTTGTACTCCATTTCTCGCTGCTTATTATGTTATAGATATTGTATGGGGTTTGTGGAGAACTGAGTTTTTGTGATTGTTCTTTCACTAATTCAGATATATTTTTAAGATATCTAATTATACTACTTAAATATATTTTCAGTAGGAATGTTCTGGTGCTTGATTTTCTATATAATTCAATGTTGCGTATATAAATTGAAGGATTTGTTCAAAGAGTGACCATTCTACAAGGGCTTTTTGTAGACAGAGGGAGATCCAAGTAGATCTGTTTACAAGAAATTCTTGTGGAATGGTTAGCTATCAAGCATTTACATCTGGGTTCTCACTGGTTGAAAGCGAAACTTAATTATATCCCCCGCTACCCGGATACGAAGAATTTGTGGTACTGAGGTCATCGATATCTAACTATACTTCCTTAAAAATGCTTATCAAAAACAGGCATCCATCAGTATTTATTGGGAAGAACATAAAACTCGAATTTCTTAAAGCCAAAATAATCTCTGAAGATGGGAAACTCTTAGTAACCTCCATTTCAAAGGTGATATGGTCACAGACATCCTGAAGAGGAGAATTACCGACTCTCTCATGAGAACGTTCTTCACCACAATTTTGGGATTAGTGTTTCCCAACCAGCAATTGTTCACTGGCAGTCTATTGGATAAACTATCTCATTTGAACAATTCCATATGCATTTTCTAAATTACTAGTTCGTATGGAGCCAGGTATTTAGGATCTTCGATGCGTATTTTATCCAAAATTATTTAATAACATTATTCGAGGTGGGTGAAAAGAGGTGACAAATAGCTCAATAAGAAGTATAATAATCAAACACCTTGTGAAAACAGACCATTTAAGCAAAACAAACTCAGTGTTCGAAGTCATCTACAAGATAAGTAGAAAGCTGTCAAAAACAGTTAGCCTCTGTCTTTTTAACATTACAAAAGCACTTGCTATACATCTAAATAGACCAGAATTATCTGTACGAAAGAAATTTGTACAACCTCTTCTTCTACCATGGTCTTACTCTCTCATAAGTTCTTCTTCACTTCCAGAGTCATTTTGTTCTCTTCTTTTTTTCTATAGACCTTTTACCCACAGCTGATTTGTTTCTGTTTCCATGATCTTACTGATTATAGTTTATCTCGATTTCAACGTTTTATCTCAATATGTTGGGTCTTGCTTTTCAAGTATACATTTGCAATTATACAGTATTGAACATGAATTCACTGAAAAGAGAACTCTTTTCTGAACCAGTTTTTTTGTATTTTGTGTCTCAATGGTTATATTCTGTTTAGTATGTTAATTAATCTTATTTTTTTAGATAATCTTAAATTATCCTGTTGTAATATAATGAATGATGATCTGGTAAGGAATAGAGTGAATCAAGTGAGCGAATTACGGTCTGATGTAACTGAAAAATTAAATCAAACAATTAAGGAAATTGAACTAGTGCGAATGAGCAGTCAACAAATAGAATATGCTCAAGCGAAGTTGAATGCTATAAAAGTAAGTTCGGAATAAGTATGAAATGTACAGTCTCTTGAATTTTTTGTTCATGCGTTCCGTTTTTCCTTATTTTGCATACCTGGTCTAAAATATTCCTTTACAGTATGAAATTTTTCTCAACTTTTGGTTGCTATAAAAAACGTAGTAGATATTAATCTTTATTTAGGAAAATATTTCTCTCAAGTTAGGACTAATCAGAAATGGAGATAAATTTAACGTCGGTAGTGAAATGTGAAGTATTGGTTCGAGGTAGTCGATAGGAATTCGTGAACGTAAGTTTCGTAGTATTTGGCACACATCAGTAAGGTGTACCTGTAGTCTAGAGGGAACTGATACTTCCTGTCAGAGACGATCTCATGTTACGTAGCTTCGCAATCAGAAACATTACTATTGAACTATTTGGATCACGACTAACCTCTTACAAGGCTAAGGCATACTCACTGAATAGTGACCAGTTTCATGTATCAGGTCTTTCTTAGTGTAACATGATCGTTCGAATTCGATTTTTTGTAAAATTGAGGTGTGTTTGAACATCTCATGAAAATTCATTTCCTTAAATGAACTCACATAATGTTACTTAGTGCTAGCTTGCGAACTTAGTGTGGGTTTCTACACCTTTCTATAGGTCATATCTTCATATGTTTATATCTTTATATATTTTCTATAAAAATCGATGTCATTTCTATTAATTACCGTTACCTCTTTTTCACTATTGTTGTGTAATTTGATGCTTACTTATATTTGTTTGTATATCATCTCTAAACATTAATAATAAATGTAATTTTATTAATTTATTTCACGATTTAGTCTACATTTAAACAATCAAGCGATTTATTTCAACGTAGCGTATTCTCTCAAAACGAGGCTGAATTGGTAACTAATATATTTGAAACATGTGGTCATTTAATTAAAAAACAATTATCTGAAACAAATGTAAGTTTGAATTGTCACTTCAATATATTATAAGTAAATATGTAATCACAAATTTATTTACCTTGAAAGGTATCAATGCAAAAATAGTGCATTTATGTGTGTAATATTACTGTTATTGCTCTATTCAATTGAAATTTATTTAGTTAATTGTTATAATTTATGGCATGTACGCCTTGTTAATGTATACGTAATGATACTGCCAATTAGAGAGCAGTGAATTGTTGATCGAACCAATGACGCGTAAAGCCTGTGCGACCAGTCTAGAGTACTTATCGGTCCTACTTCCTGCCTAGCCCAGCCAGTTAAGTCCAGAACATCGATTTCAGCTTGTGTGATATGAATCATTTATTTCAAGCATACTGAGTTTATATACCAACCAGAGAGAACACATCGTATCATAAAATGGAAAATAACATTTATACAAGATTTGGCCAAATGTGTCTGTGAATGAGGGAGGTAGTAATTAATAGACAGGGAATAATTCAAGAAGACTAAATCCTAGAATAATAGTTCATCGGTCAAAATAAATCTCATAATAAGAGGGGCATAAATATGAATAGTTTAGTTATCTAACAATTATACGATCAAAATATACACATAGTATTGGTCCACAAATGAATCCCGAAAGTTACCATTCATTATGCTTATCGGGACATAATATTAATAAAAATGTTGCTTTCACATTGTGCATCTATAAATTTCAATGTATCTCAATTTCATACTTAAGAAACGTGGTTATGAAAAAGTGTTTTATGCTCTTAATTAAAGTTTTTATTATCTTCTCTTTTGAAGTTCACGGTAGTTTTGCCTACGAAACCAAGTAAATTTTGATAACTGAATTATTCAATTAATAGAACGAGTAGTACATTAGCTTTCCCTAAATCAATTGAACCTACAACGTTGTATCAGACTTCATCCAAAAACCTTATTCCAGTCAGAATAATTCTTTTATTAGTTTACTTATATTTATAGACGTACTTGTTTTGTTGAAACTGTTTATTCGGCCTCTTATTAATTTTGACTTGAATAAAAGTTTGTTACTGTAACTGAAGGATGTGCTGATATTCCGTCATGTATTCAAAAAAAAGGAAGAACCATTATCATTCCAGCAAACAGAAAGTTTTGAATTGGTATTATAGTTATTGAAATTCATGATTTATGATAAAAATCTTTCAAAAGTACTACTTATATCGGACTACTTAATCGATATCAGTCTAGTGACTATCAAAATTTCATGGATTTGTTCATTTTAATATCTTTCTTATTTTAATGATTTTACTCTTTCTAGGATTTTCTGAAATGAAATCAGTGTACTTTAATACGGATTTTTGTGTGATTCTGTTCGAGTGTGTCTCTATTCTGAAAAAACTTGAGCGTTTTTTAGAGAATTGTATTGAATAAGGTTATGTTCAATACTAATAAGATCTGTCAAATTGTTCCATGGTGAAGTGAGAATAGAGTATTATTTATTCCTTGAATACATGTATATCGACGATCGCTATTGTCAACATGTTTATTCACTTAGAGCAAACAGTATTGTTGTTTAAGCTTTCAATAACAACTTCATATGATGTCATTTTTCAGTACCACGGCTCTACATCTAATTACATTCAAAAGAAGCTTTAACTGAACCATGGTGTGTTTTATTCTATCCTGCAAATCTAAGTTCAGAAATATTGTTTCTTAATCTCTGATGCAATTGAACTCCAAGGTGTTCTTCCTTATGTAAAACTTAGTGATATTAATCATCTTTAATACAATCTTACTTCAAATCTCTGAATAAAGTAATTAACTGTCGCTTCTTTTGTCTATGTGTTTTTTTCTCAACTTCTCTTTATTAGCAAGTAATTGACAAGCTTCAAGAATTAACTGATGAAACAAATTCTACTAATCCAGGTCGTTATTTACTACAGAATTTTAACTTTGATGATGAAAATGACACATTTCCATCTGAAATTGCGCATATTGAAAATAACCAATTGGTAGATTCAATAAATTCTGAACAAAATAACATATCTCTAACATATTTTAATATTCCTTTATGGTATGAACAAACTAAGGTAAATGATGAAGTGATCAATTTTCTGGAACATATAAAAAATCAACGTGAACAACTATTATTTAGTTATGAATTATCACAACGTCTTGCTATATGGTTATCAGTAAGTTGGATTGTGAAATTCTTGTTTCCTACAGAAAATGAAAATAAACCAGTTTTCATTTGATAAGATCAAGTATAGATGAATTATTTAACTGATGCTTGTGTTTATTCATTGGGTTGAATACCTTTTTAATCGAACAATCATGAATAAATATTAATAAAATCGAGATTGTTTGTTATACCACTCAGTTTGTGCCTACCTTTACGCATAATAGTGGATAGTTTTAGATTGGATTGGGATGAAGCTCTCTCTCTCTCTCTCAGTGAAAAAATTGTCATTAGCCCATGAATTCATTGACCGTTAGACTAAACCCTCTCTGTTGATACAGACCATGGAGTTGGAGTCTTTGTTATAATTATTCATTCTGAAAATTAATTCCTTCATTTCGAGCCATATTTCTCATATGCAGTCTTTTTTATCACCATTAAAATAAGCATTACTTCCATATTCATCTTTTTAATTTTTTCTCGATATCCTGATATGACGTATCTCTTTGAGCAGATGAATATATGTCCTTACTTCCTACATTGATCATAACTAAATAGATTGCTGGGGAGCTTTTACGAAGTTTCTTAAAATTTCAGGAAGAAACATTAGACGATAATAAGACTTTTTTATCATGACCCCACGCGTAAAGAAAAAACTTAATACGACATAAACGTAATTTAATAATTGTTTAAAACATTTTCACTTTTGTAGTATTCTTGTGTATCATTCACTAAAAACAGCCTAACTTGCCTTCGGAAATTTCAATTTGTTCCTCCGCATCAAACATAGAATTTTATTTCTGTGCCAAAATGTTTACTTGTACACTTACAATTGTCACATAGAAATGTTTGTGTGCTTTCATCTTGTTTTTTTCTGTTTTCCAGGTAATACATCCTAGAATGACCAAATTGAAAGTGAAATTTCAACACTTAAGTGTTAAGTCAGCTAATTTAAGTGGCAATAATGATCTGTGCTCACATTTACATGATGTAACCGTAAGTCAAGATTATCGTATATATATTAGTAGCCCAGTTATGCTGTCACACTGAACAGACCTTGGTATTTCATTTTTGTATTGGTAGTTTGAATCTTCCCGTTGATGTTTAGGACTGCAGTTGAACAGTTTCTTATTGGTATATATGCATACTGTGCGGATTGCCTCAATATCGCCTTCAGTCACAGACACTATAAGCTGAGATGATGATGGCTAGCAGTGGAATGCAGTTTGACGCACGTTTCGTCCTATTTGGGACTCGTCAGTTGGATGCACCTGCATTCCAGAGTTGATATTCACTCCATCTCTGCTTATAATGCTTGTGACATAAGGTAATATCTAGGCAATCCGCACAGGATGCACATATACCAATAGGAGGCTGATCAATTGCAGTCCTAAATATCAATGGGAAGATCCAAACAACCAATACAAAGTAAATTAAACTTCACCCCATTGCACAAGCTAGTGGCTATCAGGACTCAATAGCCTGGTGGAAAACGCGATGGCGTTTGAAGCAAACGATATTGTGTTGGAGTCCCAGAGTGAACATCTGATGAGTCCCAAAATAGGACGGAACGCACGTCCTGGTTCTCACTGCTAGCCACCATCCATTTCTGCTTGGAACCTAATAATGTCTACTTATTCGGCAAGGTTGTTTCAAGGATCTTTGCTTATACATTCCTTACGAATAATCTCAGCTGTTTGCTTAAATGTTGTTAGTGTTTCGCATTTAATGTCTACACTTTCTATTGTACATTCATGTCAGTTTATTTCGAAGAACCAAAGCACAACCTTCTGATATATTTTTTGCTTGAGGTTATCTTCATCTGTCTTGTATGGACATGTCCAGTGTAATTCAGTTTATCATTCTATATAAAAAAGATATATATATATATATATATATATATATATATATATATATATGAATTGAAATCAAGTCTATGAAAACGGTACTCTAACATGTAGTACTCATTAATAAACGGGAAAATAACAGCAACTTCCGGATACAACGCATTCAGTGAGTTATAGACAACACCAATCTGTTTTTTTATAGGTCAAATGGGTAGCTTTTACAAGCTGTTACTGCTAAAGTCGTGAAATTATCGCATGGCATCTTACTCTCATAAGTTGTTGCAATGAAATAGATTACCTTTTTCTAATGAAATTTGTTATATTCCTAGTCTGTAATTGAAATCATGCCTATTGAAATTATATGGGATTTCATGGGTTTTTTTTCTTTCTTCAATTTAGCTGTATCGACTTGAACTTTTCTCTCAGCTACCAATGTTTCAGTGTATCCTCAATGACGTCAATGAATTCAAAGATGTAATATTCCATTTAAGTGAAGATTATACATCAGACAATAAAATCGATCGTATTGAACAAACATTTCTGGCCTGTTTCAATAAATGTGAACATGAAACTTCATTACATAGATCAATTATTCATTACACTGAACAGAAAATAATGACAATTATAAATGATTTTAATAACATTCTTACAGAATCATCTGTTTATCTAGTAAGTTAGTTGTATACATTGATGTTAAGTTAGTATTCATCTTTTGCACTCATAACACGTGAAATACCAATACGCGTGTGTCGATATACATATACAACGATCGTTAACGAAAGACTGAGGGTTCCTAGTTACGGTATGTATTATTATGAAAAGAAATTATTTTTAGATAATCTACTGAAAATTTCGGAAGTAGATATTTTATACAGTTTGCTTTTTACCAGTCAGAGATTACTTTCCATTTTGATCAATTAAGTGTTACTTGAGATGTCTTATGAATCAAATCAACCTGATAAGTTCTAATTCACTTTTTTCAGTGGTAGTGATAACAAACAGGTTACAAGTCTGAAACCCGCTTCACTTCAGTATATCTGGCTCAAGGGGAGACTATGAAAACATATATATGTTTATTAATCCCCGTTTTGTGATCATCATTGCACTGTAAAATATGACTATACTGATTGATCTAGATTGGAAATGACTCGGTTTAGAATTACGATATGATCTTACAATAGTACAGCCCCTATCTGTTTGCCTTTTTATTAAATTGCTATATGTTTAGGCATAATTTTACTCTAAACAAACACGTAAGCAGGTACACCCAACTGACGAGTCCCAAATAGGACGAAACGTGTGTCAAACTGCATTCCACTGCTAGCCATCATCATCTCAGCTTATAGTGTCTGTGACTGAAGGCGATATTGAGGCAATCCGCACAGTATGCATATATACCAATAAGAAACTGTTTAAATGCAGTCCTAAACATCAATGGGAAAATTCAACCAAACAATACCAAGTGAATTTAAATACGTTAGCTATTTATAAGCCTTTGCATTTTATGATTGTTGATGTAAAGACCTTCAAATGATCAGTCTGTGTTTGTAAACGTACATCATCAGCGTATTTCCACAATACTGGCACTTAGTTAAATACTTTTATTAATGTTGGGTTGCAGCTAACATGGTGAGCGTTTTGTCCTATTTGACACTCATCAATGGATTTACCTGGCTTCGTGTGTTTAAGCTTACAATAAGGCTTGAATGCAATACCTATCATTACAAAAGTTAACGAGTTATCTTCTGTAAAACCTTAACTATTTGCATTTTCCTTCCATTTTCCAGTCAGCTATAAGAAATCGACTCATTGAAACAAATCAGATTTCAACAGTTCTAAATGAATTGTCAAATTTGCTAGATGAATTCAGTTGTTTAGATGAGAGATTTGTAAAAGATTGTATGATAGACGAAGAAGAATTGCCTGTTCATTGTACAGAAAACAATTTATCCCCTGTAAAAAACGTATATTTAAATAACTGGACGAAAGTAAAAATTCTAGAGGTATGATGAAATTTGTTTTAAATGAATATTCTTATGATAGAATTAAATTGTTTCAAATAAAATTGTTTTTAGTACAGGGTTGTGGAGTTTTGATTGTGATCATAAATCAATCAATATTAGACCACCATTTAAAACCTAAAAGCACTAAACGGCCGTTTCTTCCTAGTATGGGACTCTTCATCAGTGCTCATTCACGAGCCCACACGAGGGATTCGCACCGTGAGCAGTGGAGCTAATCCGTGCAGGTTATGAGACAGTCACCCACCGAAGACAATCGAAGATGGTCGCGCAGTTTCGTGGATAGGTTGAAGTTAGACATCAACACCATTGTTTACCGGCTCAGTGGTTAAACGTTCTCGCGCGAGGGATCATGGTTGCACACTACTGAGGAAGGAAAAACCGTTCAGTACTCCCAGGTTTTCAATGGTGAGGCGATCGGTCCATGGTCTCAAAAAAATTATTTCTATCATAAAAGAATGTATTGGTGTTTGTTATTGATAAAATTATTGTTACGAAATGTGTTGTTTGAATACTCACAAAAAGTAATTGAATGGATAGTGGAGTAAGGTTATATAGTGCTTTTTTAGTAAGGAGTATAAGTCAGAATATGTCAAATACTCCAAACCATTTATAGTATCGTTCTCTATTAAACAGTATGTTGTTTAAACTCAACATGATGAACGTTAATATATTGCAATGTCACTTCTACTGCAGTGCATATGCTTCAGTTTCATTAATAAAAATTAAATCTCTACTAACCAGTTTATCCATGCCTTTCACTCATGACTATGAATGAGATAAGAAATCAATTTGAACAAATAAAATAAAAACCAGTACATGGAATAGGGAACCTGATTCCAGAAAGCAAAATCAGTCAAATACCTTCAAAACAGTCAAAATATGAAAACATAGTGTTACTAATTACTCGATACAGAGACGCTTTTTTTACAATGGTTTTCTGATCAAATGATTTGAGTTTCAGTTATTGAATTATATATTGGAACCGCTTTTCATATGCTTCGGTTTAGACAGTCGGTTAATATATATATTCCTCACATAAAATGTGTATAGCTTAAAAACGAGTGCATAGATTTGTAATCGATGTGTTATATTACGCGGTATACATATAATGTAGTTAACAAATACCACTTAATTTTAATCTCTAGACAGTTGAACAATATTCTAAGTTCTAAGATTCTTGTTATTATTTTCATTACAGATGTGGCATAATGAATTAAAATCTATACAAACTCAACTTAAAACTATTTCAAATGATCGTTGCTTCGATACTGTTACTGCTAATAATAATAATAATAATACTGACAAAATGAAGATCGAGAATGATGTAAAACAATTGAAACTGAAAATTGAACAACAATCTTACCATTTAACAAAAAAGAAAACTGAACTGATCAATAAAATAAATCAGGTAACTTTTCTGAAAAATAATTTTAATATCCAATTATTGAATTTGTCACTCTATTCTTTGTTATTCATGGTGATTTATTTAATTGTCCAGTCAAACATTAACTATTTTTTTTGACAACTTAGTAATATTTTTCAAGCTTATTAGAAAGTTCAAATTCGTTCAAATAAATATTGGAGAACAATGAGTGTTGTGGTGGTCGGTATTCGATCTAATCCTTAAACTTCGTATACAATTCGTGTTGATAACCGTCACTAGATAACGCCCCAACGGTATATTAATCAGAAGGCGAATACGAAGTGTTGATTACGCTTATTACGGGACCATACACACATATCCAAAATTACAGATACGTTAAACAAGCATAGAAGAGTTGTGCTGAAAGGCAAGCAAGCAAGTGAGCGAGTCAGCGAATATGAATACGAGCAAGCGCGTACAATTAAGTGAACGAGAGTGAGAGCAATGAATATAAATACCATGGACATATATATACATAGTGAAATGAATGAGTCATCGAATCAAATAAGTGGTTAGTAGTAAGACTAGCATAGTGAATAAATGCGTGGGGAGTAATATAGGACGATTATCAAGACGAACTGTATACGAAGTTTAAGGATTATATCGAATACCGACCACCACATAATTGGTGAGCCCGACGTGGTCTGTTGTAGTGTGCTATACAAGTAATTTTTCATTCTATTCGGAAATTTGCATCTTCTAGAGGTTCACGATATTTCTTAAGACGGTACAGATAATTTCAAGGTTCTCTTGAATAATGTCAGTCTTTGAATGATCGAGTTTGATATGATTATTTTATATATCTGAAAAGTCAATAAATCATGATTACAGAGTAGAAGCCAAAAGTATTTTATGGACTGCTTCTTATCTTTTCTCACATTTTGATCTTAGATAGATATGTATGTGTTTTTGATGGAGTTTTGTTCTCTGAGCTGGATGGTTTGGTCGTGAAGCTTTCATTGTTCTTCTAAATAGCATCATCAGCACAAACCTTTACCTGAAAGCTTTGCGATCAAACCATCCAACTCAAAGAACAAAACTCCATCAAAATCATCCACCTGAGCTACAAATATTCTCCACCGCATGTATGTGTTGATATTTTGAATAACTAAAATATAATCAATGTCAAAAATTGTAGGATTGATATTACACTAATTTAGAACGTTAGTATTTATTGATAGATTGTCAAAAATTTGATGTCATTTGAATAAATCCGGTGGTTTGTAAGCCGTTGACATATTATACAACATTCACACAAATATTTTCTATAAACCACAACAATCTGCTACTAGCTCCTTCGGAGAAACTGTAACATATGAGTTAAACCAAGTGGTAAATGATGTAATAACAGCGTTGATAACAGAGGGTGAACATAGGGACCCATCCTAAAATGCGATTGGTGTTCGAAATGTTAACTTTCATATTTCAACTTATTGACGGCTGAACGGTATCGTATTCATCGCGTGACCTGATGATTTTAAGTTCTGCTTAAGTGTTAAACCAAGATGAACTAGCTCCCCACTGTTTTATAACTTTCAATGATTTTTCAGAGATTGTCGATTCAGGATGGAAACTATATATATATATATATATATATATATATATATATATATATATAAATCTCCGTAAAACTGTCGAAATATTACTCAGTGTTTTAATGGATTTAGTTATCGTATAATCTTAACATAAATGTTTGAACATCTTTTGGAATTCTTGTTGATGAGAATTTCATTGTTGTATGTATATGAATTGAATTTAAAAATTAAATAACAGTTGATCACATTTTAATGAAATTTAATCTTAGAGGTCCATACTTGTGACCCTAGAATCTTCAATCTTAGCCATGTGACAGCAGAATTAGACAATATTTGTAAGATTCAGATCGTGAAATTCAGGACTACTGAAGAGCCTCAATGTGAGGAAAAAGTTCTATTCTTTACTTTATGTAACTTCTAATGCTTTTACAATGTCAAACAGTTATAAAAATCATTTTAAAATAGACTAAGCCACTGTAAATCAGTACTTCAAACCCGAATCTTATTATACTGCTACGCCAACATTGAAGAAGTACCTACGTGCAGTTTTCATCCATTTTCTATGCTTTTCAATTTTTTTTTGACTACTAGCAAGCAGCTATTCGCATAGCGATAAAACATTTTGTAAGCTTGTTTGTTGTAATTATTTAGAATAAGCATTCTAAAAAAATGTTTACACATCATTATGCTGACGTTTTCCCTCATCAACACAACATCTACAGATCCGTTAAAAATTTGCACTATGTATGTTGTTGTCTATAGTGGTGGCATTTATTATCGTTGTGATAATCGTTATTCTTTTATTACACGCATGTCGGTTATATATATATATACATAATACGCACAGGTTTACGTTTTTGATGGCGATATCCACACCACATTGTCTAGTATAACAATAAACAGTACTTGCACAACCATTATCTCTACCTTGATCATCGGTATAGAAGTGCGTTTTCTGCTGAATTTTGATTGAACCCTTTCAAAAATATGAAGATCACTTTCTAATTTCTTCCAAATTTTTTTTTCACAGTTGGAATCACTGAACGGCTTTGTATTCTACATATTCTCAACATTCGTCTATTGATTCTTACAGAACTACTATAACACTGACCTTTTATCAAAATATTTTGTTAGTCCCTACTTTTTCTATATTATGCAACGTTGCAACTGTATGATTTTCCGAATAATTACTTTAATTATCATAATCCTCTTTCTTCCAATTACTTAATATAATTATTATGTAACTCAGCTACTCGATAAGTATTATTTCATTGTTGTAAATCATACATATATATATATATATATATATATATATATATATATATATATATATATATATATATATATATATATATATATATATATATATAATATTAGTGTAGAGCCATGATGAGAAACTATTTGAAAAGAAATTTCTTCGTTCGATTCGTTCTTTTTACCAAATGTCAAGCTGAGAATTTTCACTATATTGAAATCGTATTTAGTTGATGAAATGAACATTAAGTAATTTCTTTCTTTCATCTTATAGGAAAATAAACTACAATCTTCAATTACTGCTTATTCTGTTTGGTTAAATCAACTGAATGATAAGTTAATAAAACTTGCTAAACCAAATAATTTAACGTTGGATACAGTGAACAGTACATGGAAAGAATTTAAGGTAGGCTCTTTTCTTTTGTTTTTTTAGCAAATCAGTTAATTTTGTAAATTTATTGTGAATTTTCAAATACTCCACCTCAAAATAGGTGGAGTTTTGTTCTCTGAGCTGAATGGTTTGGTCGTGGAGCTTTCATTGTTCTTCTAAAAAGCATCATCAGCACAAACTTCTATCAGCTTAGAGAACAAAACTTCACCCAAATCATCTACCTGAGCTACAAATCTTCTCTGCTATCCCACCTCAATGCAATATTTTGATGTTGTATATTTAAACTTTAAATGTCTATCTGGGACCTCAGTGCTTATGTCTGTTATATATATGATCACTACTAGTTAGCTGGTAATCAATAAACGTCTTTTATGTTGACCAAAATCTAAGTTAATCATATCACAACATAAATATTCATGATTACACTAGTACTGATAGTAGTTTGAATTTCTGATGGGGTAAAAGCTTCATTTAGTCCCTATACCACTCAACTATTTCCAGTAATCTGTATAGTACATGCATAAGGATAATTATTGTAGAATTAATACAATGAGCTTTAACTAAAGATAGTTTTACATTGTTAAACATTTAAACGTTGTCAATAATCTAGTCACCATAAGTTCAAGTATAACTTAACATTTAACCATAATAGTTTTTCCATCATTAACGTAAGATTAGTAAAACGTTTTCTTACACATAGTTCCCTTTATTATTTTAAAGAGAGCAGGAACAAAGATTGGTGCAGAATAATATGAATTCATTTTATTTCGTTAGGTTCTCATCAGCTGCTTACAACCTAAAATATTTGAAATTCAAAGTTATTATAGATATTGACATATTCATACATACGAGGGTGATGAGAGATGAATATAAGTATCATAATGTAGTGAAGATTCCGATAGTTAATGAGGTCATAAAAATCGTTTGTTTCGGATAAATAAAGTTTGAGAGGGAAGGTTCCAGAACATTGAAATAGTGATTAGAACTCATGGAATTAAAAAACACGTTAGAAGTAACTGAAAATAGATTAATGGTAATAAAGAAAGGTATGAACTGAAATCAGTCAGTTATGAATGACGTAATTTTAAAAATTCAGAAAGAATTGCAATAGTGAATGACGTAATAAATAAAAGGGGGGAGGGTCAATGTTACCAGGGCAAAGAAAGATTTATTACTGTTTCTTTTTGTATACATAGATCTGGTTTCAGACGTTTGATTGCTATCGCTTCGGCAAATTTCAAAAGGTTTGTGTTTGATTGTTTGTTAATCACCTTGAAAGGACTTCAATGTATCAACTTCATGTCCTGTATCAAGGAATTTTCTGCATACGATATTCTTCAGAACGACATCGAAAACTTTAAAACGAATCCATCTAGCTCAGAGATTGTAATCTGATCAAAATTCCACACTTGTTCTAGCTTTCTACATACACATGAACAAATGCATATAAAGACAGCAAGTGTAGCAGCAGTCTCTGCATCAGTTGGCCTCAACATACACAAGGGGGAAACCAAGGTCCTCAAATTCAAAACGAAGAACAGCAATTCAATCACTCTTGATGGCGAAACTCTGGAAGATGCAGAACCCCTCACATATCTGGGAAGCATAATCGATGAACAAGGAGGTTCAGATGCAGACGTAAAGGAGAGGATTGGCAAAGCAAGGGCCGCATTCCTACAATTGAAGAACATATGGAACTCAAAACAACTTTCAACTAATATCAAAGTCACAATCTTCAATATGAATGTTAAGGCAGTTCTTCTGTACGGAGCTGAAACTTGGAGAACTACAACAACCATCATCAAGAAGGTGCAAGTATTTATAAATAGCTGTCTACGCAAGATACCCAACATCCATTGGCCGGATACCATCAGCAACAGCCTTCTCTGAGAGAGAACAAACCAACTTCCGGCTGAACAAGAAATTAGGAAAATATGATGGAAATGGATAGGATATATATTACGGAAATAATCAAACTGCATCACTAATCAAGCCCTAACGTGAAATCCTGAAGTGAAGCGGAAAAGAGGAAGGCCAAAGAACACCTTGCGTCGGGAAATAGAAGCAGATATGAAAAGGATGAATAGGAACTGGAAGGAGCTGGGAAGGATTACCCAGGACAGGGTTGGATGGATAATGCTGGTGAGCGGCCTATGCTCCTTCACGAGGAGTAACAGGCGTAAGTAAGCAAGTAAGTTTATATATATATAATTCCTGTTTTATTTCTCCAATCCTTCCGTTTCACTTTTACCATTATTATTATTATTATTATTATTATTATTATTATTATTATTATCATTATTATCAACAAACAGGATTGGAATTTAAAATCACTAAATGAAAGCAAATTACGTATAAATAATTTAATAAAACAATTACCTAATTCAATATTCGATGATATTTTTAAACAAGATAAATCATTATTTACAAATATTGAAGATTACATTTTAAATAATATGAATGTATTCAATGAATTATATCATCAAAATTCATTATTATTATCACCATCATCATCATCATCATTAAGAAACAACAACAAGATTAAATCTCATTTAGAATTAACTATTCTACGTATATTAAGACAATATATAAAATTTCAATTACAAAGTATAGAATCAATGAAATTATGGAAAGTTCATTTGAAATTTATAAAATACTTTATCATAAATAGAAAACAATTACAATTATTATTTAATGAAATTCATGGTAGTTTATCAAAACTTTATAGACCATCAAAATTAGTTGGATGTTGTACAGAACAATTAAATAGTGTAAAGGTAATGTTAAATACTTTTAGTACAATTCAGTTTTATTTTAACATTGCTTTATAGTGATTTATTTTTGCTTATGTATAAATATCTGTAGGTTTGGCTAGTGAATGCTTCATATATCATATATTGTTAAACATTGTTAGAGTAAAGTAGTTGGAAGTAGGTAGTAAGAAACGCTGTATCTAGGTTTCATGATAGTACTAGTTAGAAAGGTCAACATGTGATTTTGATGGGAACCGATGCTGTCGGTGGGATCGAAACCTTAGTCGCCAAGTTTCATACTACGTCCTGGCAGGGACATCCGATTTAGCCCCTAAATGCCCTGGTATGGCCGAGAGTGGGGTGGGCTCGCTTTCCCTCTCGAAATGCTCTCACACGGCCACGCGTACATAGCCTCTGCCAGGGAAGTCCTACTCACTGCCTTCTCGTGGCGGGGTTGTTTCTTACGAAATTGAGAGGACGAAAAGCGAATGTCCGGCGCTTTAACCGGATTCCAAACCAATGGTGCACATGGGCTCCAGTATCCTGAGGGAACAGACGGCGTATGAACCAATCGTTGGTCACAGGCTACCATGGGACTGCATCTCCTTACGATGCCCCACTGCCTTGTGGGTTAGACGTTTAGGTCAAAGGCTCGGGGGTATGACCCCCTAGGAAAACCACCTGCTTCGGTCTGGGCGTCCGGGCAGTATCACAGCCCTCACACAAATCGAATGATTTATGTGGCGCATATCTATTTGGTGCCTCCTTGTACCAATGTTTATGTGTTTAAATAAATAAAAATAAAAAATTCAGTTTTATTTTAACGTTGCTTTATAGTGATTTATTTTTGCTTATGTATAAATATCTGTAGGTTTGGCTAGTGAATGCTTCATATATCATATATTGTTAAACATTGTTAGAGTAAAGTAGTTGGAAGTAGGTAGTAAGAAACGCTGTATCTAGGTTTCATGATAGTTAGTACTAGTTAGAAAGGTCAACATGTGATTTTGATGGGAACCGATGCTGTCGGTGGGATCGAAACCTTAGTTGCCAAGTTTCATAATCTGATACTTCATTGTTGAGCTCTTTAATTTTGAACCGACCTCTTATAGGAATGAGATATTTCCCATTAATTGACCAATATTTAATCCTTTTTAGTGTTGATCTAATTCTATCGGTCAGACAGATATGTGTTCACTGGTCTTAGTGGCTCGAAATCTCATGCACTATATTGAGTTGTCAGGTATTTGAAGGTTGAATTCTCTAGTCTTCTCTGATATTGAAATTCGGACTTATACCAATCAAGATGTTATCTTGAAGAATGAACTTTACTCCACTATAAAAGTTTTTTTGTAGGCATCAATGCCTAGGTTGGACTTGATAGTTTCAAATAAACTGAGTATTTGTTAGAGAGTTAATAATGAATTTTTTTGTAACGTCCTAATGAGTAGAAAATTGTATTTCTGACATTTTGTGACTTATAAATAACCGACTTAAATTAACACAAGTTGAAGTAGTACATAGGAACTATGTAAACCTATGTTAATTTTCTTTTGGTTATTTATTTACTCTGACGAAGTGGTCTACACCAAGTCAAGGAACGTCAGAAATACAATTTTCTACTCAAATCACAACAAAAAAAGTATATATTTATTTCAATAGTTGAAATCATGAGTCAGTTGAAGCTAGACCATTATAAACGGATTTAAATATATACACGAATTAATTTAAAGCAAGAAATGATATTTACATAATGTTCCGTTTACTCATGGACACATTGATTGTTCCTGTAGCGGAGTAATACACCTTTAATATTGTTATTCATCTATTTTAATTACTACAGATACATATAATTACAGTTTATTGGAAATTGATTTTACTTCTAATAGCACTAATACTAGTTGTTTTTATAATGCTTTATTTTTGTAGAATGCTATTCACCAACTGAAAACACATGAAAGATTAGCAATTAATCTTTATAATTCTCTACCATTAATCAAATCTCTATGTCATCCTATAGAAGTATCACAAACAGTAGCTACTATTAATACAATGAAACACAATTTTACAAGTCTCATGCGTCGAGCAATAGAACGGCGAAAAATTCTCACTCAAGCATTGAAAGAAGATACTAAGGTAAGTAACTTGTGACTATAAACGTATATTAAAATTACATATACTAGGTAATTGTATAAACCGTAGGGTAGTTGAATAGGATTGAGGCTTACGATTTACTGCTTGACAGTTTTCTCCAGGCCGATAAGCCCTAAATTTCACGTTATGGTCATGAATTTATTTAAAATTGTGTTGTTTAGTTTTCTAACCGTGATTATGTCTTTAAAGCTGTTGCGAACACTGCTGTGTTAAGATCAGAAAACTAGGAATTAAAATCGATAGTGATAACTATTATGTAACTTTTATTAATGTTAAAAGAGTAATTATATTTCGATAGATCAATGTTCACTGACGTCTCCAGTTATACAGAGATTACTTTACAGTAGTAATAGGAAATATTTTTGTGGTACATACTTTTAGACTGCCATTTCTTGTCTGTAAAATATATGTTCTAGTTTTTTGATACGGCGCTACTGCGGTTTTGAAAACGTCTGAATCATTGTATGATTCAAGCCAAAAGTTTTTAATAATTAGTATTTATCTACTGATGAGATAACATGTTTATACCTATGACAAACAAAACAGTAGCTTATTGTTACATTGTTCATAATGGTTTGTAAAGCAATGTTCATACATTTTCCAAACCTTTTACAGATTTGTACGATTGTTTTCTGCACGATAACTTTCCACTCAAAACCATCCTTTTTCGATATACTAAAAGTTACTTGATCATTGTATTTGTGAAAAAGTTTTCTTATAATCTCTTTTATTTTACATGTGTTTTTAAAAAAACATTTTCAGTTTGATGTAGCGTATTATAGTTTATTAAACTGGTTCTTAACCAAACTGGAGATACTCGAGGCCTTTGAAACACGTACAGTATATGATGAAAACAGTCAGTTGTCACTTAAAACTTTGGTAAGTTTAATATCAATTTACTAGTTGTCTTACGATTATTCAGAAATTGAAATGAAATATAATTTTTTAGCTTTCTAGAAAATTTAGGATACACTCTCATTTAATAGAACAATATCTTTGTTTTTCCATAGATCTATCATTTTTCATTCAGATTATGTAAGATGAATGCGGAAGCTATAGCAGCTCTTCTACAATCAATTTCGATTGTGGTTAAATTTTGTTAAACCCTTTTATTTATTTACTTAACAGACAATGTTATTCGAACAGTAACAATTCACATATTTCTTTGTACTATTATGATCACCGTCTTGTCTCTATAAACGTATACTCTTGATCGTATGACAGCCTACGCACATATCCATCTAGATTAAGTGTTAATAGCTTAAATATCGCGCGATGAATCATTCTCTTTCCCATGTATATATGGACTCGAATCTTATTATTAGCCTTTGCCTTGCCTAGTTGCACCTTATTCGGTTTGACTATACATTTGCCTCTGTATTTGCTCGTATACACATATTCGCCTCTCTGCTCAAAACTAGTTTGGTAGGCTTGTAGTTTTATGATCCGTGCTATCCGCTAATAAACTGTAGCCGCCACTTCTTATTGCCTTCTGATATCAAACACCGTTGGGATTTATATAATAACATTTGTCAAGGTGATTGATTAACGAAGCTAAGCCACAACAATGCAACGCGTTTCTGTATTATCTTAGATTGATGTAATATTAACTCCGTGAATTGAAAAAGATTGTTATGATGGTGGCAATTTATGAGGATATACTTTATTGGTATTTCCATATAGTGTTGAGAATTGTCTTTTTTGTCCAATTATTTAAACTAAACAAGTTTGTGATTAAAATGTGTTTAGATTTAAAATGATCTCGAATTGTTTATCTGAATAACTAACAAAAATTTCCGTTGATTACGATTGGGACTGACGATAATAGAAGAGTAAATACCATTAAGATTTCTTCATTCAAATGATTTACAAATAACAAACGAATTAATTTTGACTAAGACATCTAATTATTATTATTATTATCAATGGCTTTATTCAATATTATATTTTTGGTACCATATAGAATTCTCAGCACAAAGTATTTCAACAAGTTTCCGTTTCCTTCTTCTGGTCGGTCCTGGAGATAAATATTGATGATCACCTTAGATGTTAGCAGTCACTAATGAACATCTGAATAATGTACATTCTTTTCGTGTATATTGCCAGCGACCACATTGTCTTATTGAGTTTTTAGGATAGCTTATGCGATTAATAGACATAATGATATATTAAAACAAACAAAAATCTATAACTTTTTGAAATATCTAGATGGCAGGAACAGGTAGCCTAGATGCTCAAGCAGGCCGCCTTATAGACTACATTTTCATAGTATCATTACTCAACAGGAATGTTGTCCACTTATTCTTTGTCAGTTATGAAAATGATATCTAAGCTGTTAATCCTATAGTAATTGTCACTGAGACAGATACTATCTGATTACATTTAGAAAAAAAGTCTCATTTCTTTAGCATAATCTTTAACAAATTTCATTCATTTACTAAAACGTAACTAATCTCTCATTGTCCTCAGAGCTGATACATTCCATTTGATCAATTTCGTATTGTATCTATTGAGTAAGATAAAATAAACATATGTCATGTTTGATACTGTTGTTCTTTATTTCTTACAACTGTTCTGATCCTACTAAAGATTATTTTGTGACCCGTTCACTTCATTAATAACATAAATGACTACTATACTAAAGGATACCAGTCTGAATAATTTACATATACACTTACAAAGAATAGTCTTATTCATTATTGAATATCAACAACAACAAAAAGTCAACCTTATGAGTAACAGACTTGTTAGAAACGAAACTAAATGGATAATAAAAATATTATTATATAATTCAATTTATAAATTTTAGTATAAAGAATGTAACTGTTTTTATCGACTCCAAATTGAATAAATAATATAGAGGTGAATGATGAACTCCAACTTGTGAAAATAAAACTTATCGTTGTTTATTTAATGATCATGTGCATGAAAGTGAGACCCCATGGTGTCGTGGCATGAAAAAAAAGCTGCAAAGGGATGACTTGTGTTAGTCCTTCACGACTCCCTGGCTGGGGTCCGAGAGATGGTGCTACACAGTGGCTAGAGACATTATCAGATATGGCTCAGAATAGAAGCCAGTGGTGATCCTGCTGTAACCTACTTTTACTTTCTTCGTAAAAAGTGGTTGTTTCTTCCTTAACTGAAAGATTTCCTCCGATTGTACCTTTCCGTTCCCCCATTATTACTATCATTATTATTACACTACCTTACATTAATCTCTTCGTTATCGTTCTCTTTTTTCACGCTCCTTACCTTTTTTCTTTTTCCTTTTCTTTAACTTCTCGTTGTCTTGTGTGGCGCATATATATTTGGCGCACTCTTGTACCAATATTTATGTGTTCAAATAAATAAATAACTAGCTTTATTGCATAAGAAAACAAGCATCGACAAACTCTAATACGGATAAAACCGGTTTGAATTTCCACTGAACACCAATCCAAAATGTTCTAAACTATACTAACTCATCGTTTCATGTGTAACTTAGTAACACCGAAACTATATTCTATGTGTTTAACTTGATACATATGTCTAAATACTATACATAGCTAGTAGTTTGAAAATATTTATTAACAATTTCATTCCTAACCTTTTATTTAACATATTTTCATAGCATAGAGAATTTCATGAACAACAATCGGATTATCATTTGGTGATGAGAATGGGCAGTAATCTACGTGAACGTTGTACATGTACAGATCCAGAAAAGAATATTCTAAATGAGATGCTTGAAAAACTTCAACTTGTCAAAGGAAATTATGGGAAACGTCTGTCGAAGTGGTAAGAATCAATTTAACAATCACCGTTTATTATGTATATTCGTATTTTATGATGCATTTTGTACTTGAACATTTAAACAATGACTTTCTGTGTCCTAATTTTTAACTTTCAAAATTCGAGCATAAATTAAGAGAAAAAGTAGTGTGAAAACAGTTTTAATTAGAAGGATTTTTTAATGTAGACAAAACTACATGTGTACATGTGACGTTGACATTCTAGAAGCCTTTAAAAGCCGGCCAAATCTAACTAAAAAGTTGGTAAGTATCCAATTAAGATATGAAAAAATCAACCGTTCTCTAAAATTCTCTTGAGATGTTCTAAAGAACCCTGACTAAACAAAATATACTGAATATTCTTTCAGCGTCTGAAACCCTTTTCAAGAAAATGCCGAAGGCTCCCAATATTTCCTTAGTTTGAAATATGTTACGTATTTTGATTTAGGAAGTACCAATGCATGATTATAATTTTGATTAACGTAGAGCCTTTTATACGTTAAACCATCTAAGGTCACAACTACATCATGATCAATGATGGAACAGTTGACAAGCCTATCTCTAGTGAATTGTACTATGATTCATTAAAGGAAAGTTTATTGCGGCTTCATACTCAGTATAATTGTATGTCATTTTAGTGCATAGTTATATTAAAGATGGAATAAATGTCCACTTTAACTGATATGATATATGGTATTTATTATTAATCAAATGTTATGTAACGATGTCGTGAAGATTATGCTCACTTTGAAATTATTCTTTATCACAAACTGACATGAGTCGAAGAAGCGTTGAATATTGAAGGTTATTGGTTAGCTATTTGAAGCATACTAATAACTTCACACTTAATTAAACTTAAGGCGGTTAATATTTATGCATACAGACGCATCAGCTCATCTGTCTCCATGGTAGAATTATTACACGTAGGAGAATCTGAAAACGCGATGAGTTCACATGAAAAAAAGATTGATGTCTGAATTACACAGATAGTTGTAAAATGATTGAATGTTTTTGTAATTGGAGAATAATAAAGGATTATTTAATTCATAATACTGGGGTCTTTTAAACACATAGTGTTTACATTTTAAACCACATCGTTTTTTATATGTCCTGGTGATACTATTCAACCGTTCTAAACAAGTCAGGTGGAACGGAAGTTCAACCTGTAATCTGCTAGCTGTGTACCTTAAGCAGTAATTAAGTTCACGTGAAGAATTTTGTCGAGATCGAAAACAAACTATTATTGATTTTTATCTGTATTAATTTTAATAATTTGAACTTGTACTTTTTTTTAATCTTAGCGTTAAATTATTATTAGTGTAGGGTTGTGAAGATTGTTGAGTTTAGGCTGATATCATGAATCGATCAATGTTAGACCACCATTGAAAGCCTGTAAGCACTTAACAACCGTTTCGCCCTTGTATTGGAATCCTCAGCAATGAGAAGAAATTAACCTGTCATATAGTTTTTTTAAAAGCATTTTATTAGTTTAAACTCTTCAGAGTTCTCTTCACAACTGTCTTATTTGACCGATTGTAACTTCAAGTTTTATATACTATCCAGATAGCTAGTTCAATATTAATATTCCTATATCAACCTCAATTTCTTCCTTTCACATCTTTATTATTATTATTATCATTACAGTGAGTTCAACTAATCCATCTTTATACGACCCCATTATATTAGTAGTAAATGTCTCAAGTATATGGGTAAGAGAAAATTTCAATCCAGTAGAATATTGTGTTGTATAAGTGAATATCATATGAATATTTATTTATTTTCAGAAAAGGTTTTGTGAATATTATAGTAATTTCAAAAGCTGAGATCATGAGTTAATTGAAGCTAGACCACCATAAAAATCCTGGAAACACTGGACAGATGTTTCGTCCTATTGTGAGACTCCTCAGCAGTGCGCATCCACGAGGAGTCCCATAACGAGATGGAACGGCCGTCCAGTACTTCCAGGTTTTCCATGATGGTCTAGTTTCAATTAACTAATGATCTCAACTATTGAAATTTATTTATTTTGTATTTGTGTTAATTGAATGTGAATTTTTGTTTGTTTAATTACTGCATCTAATTCTCTTTGTTTATTTATTTGTTTTTCTCTAAAGTTTTATATGTGACAGGTTATTTTTGTATGATTATCTCACGGTTTTTTTCATAAACATGCATGTTACATAAGTAAAATTAGTCTTTTACACATGTATATTTATGCACAAGATGTAGATAAACTGTGAAAAAAAACTAAAAATTTCTTAGTTTATAAACAAATGAACACTTTTGTATACTCAGTAAACAAACAAACAAACACACATTGTACCGTATTTATTTTTTTTACTGTTTACAAGTTGGTTGAAACCAACTTTCATGATTCATGTATTTGAAGTTGTTGTTTTTTCTTATCAAAAAAAACTAACCAAATAATTATTGGAAACAATTGAGCATTAATAAAGTCCAATATAGTTTTTGAGCATGAGATGGATATTATTGATCTTAATTGATAATGGAATATCACAAACTGAATGCTGTTAAAGAAATGTGAATGATTAGATACTAATTTATTTACATATACTTAATGCGGTCGCCATGATTTTTGACTTTCCTGGTGTTGTGATGAGTTATTTCTGAAGAGATGAAGTCTCGTATTTGGATGTAAAAGTTATTCAAATCTTTCTGATTTCTATCAGTATGAGGTTATGAAGATTGTTGAGTTTTTAGTTGAGATCGTGAATCGATCAATGTTGTTATTTTTTAAGCGTGTAAATTTTACCGTTTTGAGTCCCTCTCAACCATTTTTATGTTTAGACACCCAGATCATATCAGTTGTTTGTGCACACTAAGTAGGTTCAGCTCAAAGTATATTGTATAGTTGATAAGTTATGCTATTGTTACATACTTTGTTAAATAAATGAATTTATGATTAACATTTTACTCCCTATTATTAATTTAGACTACACAATGCGAAGCAAATACAATGTAGTTTAATTTTTGCACTGTAATAACTCCTTCATTACATTCTTTATTAGAAGGAATTCCTTAATAAATAATGTGTTGAATGAACCCTGAAAAATGTTGGTTAAGAATAATTAGAGTCAAATTACTAAAAACTCTTTCTCAGTTTTTTGCTTACGTATTGTTCATAAACTTATTAGTGTCAACGTGTTGTTCTACTGACTATTATTTGATAAGCTAGAAGAATATTTTAATTAAATTCGATTCGTGCTCCTGAATGATTTAAATGATCCAACCGAACAATTCATTTGACAGTTTTGGACCAATCATCGCTTGTGGTGGAGAATGTTCAGCTTGAAGTTAGATTTCATCATGAACTGAAATCATTTGTAGAGGGATCGTTGAAAACTAAGACACATTGAACGGTTATTTCATCCTAGTCTGAAACTCCATTAAACAAAAACGGCCAGACATCGGTCAACTGTTGTCACTCAGTACTTTTTCAGATACACATAATTGAAGATTTTATCGGAAAGCCATCTTTATTCATTATACACTCATTGTTATCCATTTGTATCGATTCATTTGATTACAACAACAATAAAGAAACTTTGTCAGAAAATGAAATTAATATATTCTCTATATGTACTATTTAACTGATATGATATTCATTAGGATGGATTTGATATAGTTAACTTATCTAACTTTTTCGTTGATTATTGAAGAAAATTCTCATTCTGTCGACATGTGTGCTTCCACTTGTTTTCAGAAATTTGTACTAAATATTTTCCTTAGATTTATATGCTAAGTTTTCATTTTAATAAGTAGTAATTGTGATATAAGTCGGTCTACATCCTAGATGAAGACTTCAAATGACTTAATTCCTTTGATAATAAACCAGCTAAATTAACATCCTGTACAGATTGTAAGAGTTTGTCCTATTGTTAGTGTTCGGAATTGAATTTAAACAATCTGTACTCGTATTTTGTCTCCTTAAACGTATGGTTCTATATCGCTTACATATTTTAAAGTGATTTTATTTTGGACACCGACAGGTGATAGAATCTTCCAGGACACGCATTTTACCCTGTTCAAATAAATACCTCGCTCATTCAGCATATTGGTAGCTGTCATGACTCCATAGCCTAGTGGATAATAGGCTAACATTTGACGCGACACGTATTTTATTTGTCTCTTATTGTGAAAATCGACGCTAAGATGCAGATAAATTTAGCCATGATAAGTTCCTGAATAGGATGAAACGCGTACTTCTTGAAGCCTGAAATTCACATCTTTTATACCTTTATTCTGAATTGAATGCTTGTAATAAATAAATAATATATCTTCGCGATGAAATTTTCACAACCTATGGTTTATGAGTTGTGTTGAAGGAAAGTCACCGATATATAATTCGGAAATGGGATATGCTCTTTTGTATTCATTCTGTGTTAACTAAAGGAATGATGAATATTTTGAAGGCTAATTTGCTCAATTTGTTTATGATATTCTCGTATTGAAAAAGTGTCATTTTATTTTGTCTCTGCCACTAATTGTTGTTTACATATGTACTGTGTTTTATGTTTACCTTTCATAGTCAAATTCAACTTAGTGAAATGTTAATTACAAAACGGAATCCTAAATCCGCTCTATCTCGCTTAAATGAATGGTTACAAATGATCGAAGAACATTTAGGCATTGAAAATACTCTTAACATTAAACATATTACTAATACTGATACCACTACTGTCAGTAGTTCTATTAAACCATCAGGAAATGATCAAAGTGAAACTGACAATTCAAATCACTTATTATCAACTAATGTTATAAGATTGTTGGATAATTTAGCTAATCCAGCTCAGTACACGATGACTATTTTCAACTCTAAAGAGTATGAAAACATTGCTTCTGTTTTGGGTGATATAATTTTTGTTCAGTCATTAAATTCAAATCATTTGGTAAGTACACTTGGTATTGTTTGTTCGAATCCTCTCATTGATGTTTAGGACTATAATTGATCAGTCTCTTATTGACATATGTGCATACTGTACGGATTTCATCGATATAGCCTTAATTCACAAGCATTATATCCAAAGCTTGATAAGTAGTAAGTGGTAATTAGTAGTATCGAAATATGGAATTAATTAAAAGAATTCATTTAACTATCAAATAATAACTCTTCTGCAAAAACAAAACTATGAAATTTGGATTGAATGTAAATATAAAATTTAATATACTCAGTAGTAATTTACTTTAATTTCATGAATTTGTTTAAAGGTTGAGTAATTTTTACAATATCCCCACCTTGTTGAAAGTGATATAAAAAATAGTTCAATTTCTTCTACTGGAAGCTCATCTGATCCAACGTTTAGTTGTGGTCTATCAAGAAATATTTATCGTTTATCATTCAACTATTTTCCTTCCTAATAATATTGTCTCTCCAGTTCATACAATATGAGAATACAAAAAACTTGAGATGCATAATTCTTGCAATATTTATTTGATCGTAACAACAAAATAAATAGTTAAGTGTCATCCAGGAGAAATAGAATTTTAATTAATCCAAAAGAAGAGTTTATTTGCAAATGAATCATCAGTATTATCAATGGGTAGTTATACAATAATCTTATCAAAAACATCATTGTATAACTAAAACATTTTTCTAGCTAAATAGAAATATTCATACCGTTTGCTGACCAAAAATATTGTTATATAATCCATTTATCAAATGATGGTCAGTCCGCTTCATATAGTCACTGGTTATTAGGAATATAACAGAAATATTTGATAGTTAATGACGATTTTTAAGTGACAACACTTATGATCAATTGTTTCGACGTAATTTGCACATATCTCTAGACGTTAAAGAGTATTCACTTGGTATTGTTTGGCTTGTATCTTCCCATTGAGTTTTTTTACAAGCCAAACAATACCAAGTGAATTTAAATTCACCCCATTGCACAAGCAAGTGGCTATCAGGGCTCAGTAGCTAAGTGGATAACGCGATGGCGTTTGAAGCGAATGGTACTGGGTTCGAGTCTGAGAGTGAACATCAACTCTGAGATGCAGGTACATCTGGATGACGAGTCCCAAATAGGACGAAACGCGCGTCCTCGATTCCACTGCTAGCCACTATCCATCATTGTTAAAGAGTATTATTCCATTTGAACTTTATAGTGATAAAGTTGTATTATACTAATAGAAACGGATATCGTGTTGTTATGGTTTCATCGTTGACTAATCTCAACTGATCGAGATTGTAGTGCGTTCACTACTTTAAATAACTATTTATTTAAACGAAAATTTATAAATCATTTATTGTTTGTCTAGTTAACTAATTATTTGCTTTTCGGATTATATCAATTAGGTATCATCTGAATGCATATAATTATACTAGTTGTTTTTATTTATTCAAAATATGGTTTTATGTTAAATTTAAACAAACTTAAAATATATGTTCAATACTCTTTGTCAATACTGTTTATGTGCTACTGATTGGACATTACTGATACAAATCTTAAAGAAGGTACTTTGTTTAAAACGTACTTTTTTTAGTTATTATTACTAGAATTTTAACAAAGAGTTTGGAGTTATTATTCAGCTATCGAAAACATCTACTTCGCATATTGTTTATATCCGTCAAATGAAAAGCGATCACTAGTTTGCAGGTAAATTGAGCTGACCAGTCCTAAACAGGACCAAATACACATCCTGGATCGTACTGCTGTACACAATAACACATTAACACTGTTGAATGCCGGCTCAGTGGTCTAAAGGTGTTAAACGTTTGCGCGCGAGACTTGAAAGCCCTGGGTTCAAATCTCATGAGCCGGAGCGTAGATGCACACTGCTGAGGAGTCCTACCATAGGGCGAAACAACCGTTCAGTGCTTTCAAGTTTTCAATGGTTGTCTACCATCAATTGGTTCATGATCTCAATTAAAAACTCAATAATCTCCACAACTTTTATACTAACAAAATAACTATATTGAGGCAATCGACTTAGGATACATTTGTGACAATAGAGATTGATCAGTTGTAATTGCGAATATCAACATCCGGAAATTGCTAAGCCTTAAAAAATATTCAAAAACGAAGAATATTTGAGCGAACAATTGTTTTCAATAACTTCATCATCAGGCTCTACAGTTATAAGTCCATAATTATAATATTTTACAAAGGCCAAAAATAAGGCATGTTTTAATGAGTTTGACAATGTTATGTGTTAAAAATGGTGAACATTTGCATCTGTTGCGATATATATATATACTTCAAAAAGAAAAATTGTAATATTTGCAAATTAGAAAGGTCATTCAATAAAGGTCAGTAAATTGTTCAGTCACAATAAGATAATAGTACTATATGCAGGGAGTCTTCTTTTAAGAAATTTAAAACAATTAGTCCCTTTGATAAATTTCGATAATGATATTAGAAGACGAAGATTATCAGAACCATCATCCTCTATTGCTAAACATATAATTGAAACAGGTCACAAGAATGATCTAAATTCAGCTTTTGTAGTGCTGTATAAGGGCGTATAAGGGCGTATACTAAGGTTTATTGAAGCCTTAGCCATACGAAAATTCAAACCCCCTTTATGTGTTCAAAAACAGTTTGTTCTTACCTTAAACCTATCCAGAGTGATTAGGTTTCAAATTGTGTTCACATTATTATTATTATTACTCTTATCATTATCCTTATCTCCTCTTACCCCGTTTCCTGTCTAGTTGACCTTTTATTTTTTATATATAAATGCTCTTAACAAGTAAATGTATGACCAGATTGTTCGAAATGTATTGCGCTAATATATCACATAGTTCTGATAATCTTCGTCTGCTGAGGAGTCCCATACTAGGACGAAACGGCCGTCCAGTGCTTCCAGGTTTTCAATGGTGGTCTAGCTTCAACTGACTCATAATTTCAATCTGTGAAATTTCTAATATCATTATCGAAATAGTACTATAGCAAAATTGAAAATGCAAAAAAAAATAATTTTGTCAACTGAGATAATAATAATAATGTTGTGTGAATATAATATGTAATAAGGGTGTTATCAAGGTAATTACGGTCAACAAATTGGGAATGATGGATATGAAGATTAAGATATAGATAATGACAAATAATGATAATAAGGAAAATAAATAAAAATAAAGGAAGGGTTAGAGGTTTATAATATTCAGTCTAGGTATTCGGTGATCCAGTGCTATAGTACTATTATCTTTTTGTGACTGAACAATTTACTGACCTTTATTGAATGACCTTTCTAATTTGCAAATATGACAATTTTTTGAAGTATATATATATATATATATATATATATATATATATATATCGTAACAGATGCAAACGTTCACCATTTTTAAGAATTGTTCGCTCAAATATTCTTCGTTTTTGAATATTCTATGGGGATTTTTAAACTGTCTTACAAAGCAGTTCTAAAGATTTATTTTCTCATTTATATTCTTGTTCTAATCACGATTTACTTTGATTATTTTTCTACAAATAAAACAACAACACAAAATGATAGATTTTAGCTGAAGATTTACGAGAACATGAAAAATTATATCAGATACTTGTAAAAAATGATCACAACAATAATGATGAATTCAATAAACTTACATATCGTTTTATACGATTAAAACAAGCGTTCAATCTACGTGAAAAATGTCTTCAAGTAAGTAATATAAAATGTTTTCTAGTGTTGTTTTCTATAAATAAAAATAAATGAACACATGAAAATCTTTCCCTACGGTTATTACTTAAATTCAATCATGATGTATATATAGTCGTGATCAATATTCATAAACTTATTATTCTGTATATTCTGAATAATAATAAATATAATTAAACTGATTTATGGAATATTAACTTATATCATTGAACAATAATGATACACACAGAATGTAGTGAGATTCAGATGACAAACTATTTGGTAATTTTAAGAGATCTACTGTTTCAAGAAATAGCTTCAATCAATATATTAATTATTGATTTAATTCTAACTAGAAAACTGCTGGTTGATTTATGATAACTGAACAATTCGGATTATAATGAGTTAAATCGTTTTTGTTTTCATTTCCTTGTGAATGTCGATAGTGTTTAAGTAACTTGAAGGGCTTGTTCATAATGGTTGATTATTGGGAAGATAATTTTTACGGTAGAGTGACTCTGTTTATACAACTACTGAAAGCCAGAGATTTTTAGTCAACTGCTTGCTCTTGTAAACGGTCTCTTCGGAGCTATGCCAAAGTGCACAAAACTTTGTGAAAAGCCATGACTGGTAGAATTCAGTCATCTCAGGACTGGGAAAGTTATCCTCGATAGTAATGAATAAATGTTGCGCAGAATCATGAATTGACTGAACTTAATAGGATGAACAACTGGATAATAATTCAGTATTCTGAAGACTAAAATCTCGAGGCGAAGACTGCGTCATCCTGTGTTCCATCATTGATGGAATCCTATCTAAGAATTAAACAACTAGTTATCTTATTTCTGGTTATTTAGCTAAGTATCTACCTGTAATGTAATATACTTTCAAACTACTGTTATTATTTTAGCTAACCGTTAGACCTCATCCCCTCCTTTCCAAATAATGTTTACAAATATTCTTCCTTTTCTCTATGTGCATTTTAGATCGCTGCCGATGCTGCCTTAGAACTAAATAAAAACTATTCGAATTTAATTAGTTGGTTATTAGAAGTAACCAATAAATTGAATAATAACGAAATTGAACTTGCTTACGTTATTAAAAATAAGGAAACTGTCTTACAAAAACAAACATTGTTTTTCCACTCCGCTGATCAATACAAAATTAGATTGAATATGTACGCAAAAATACATCATCAACAAATCCACATATATCGACCAATATTCAATCACTTTGAAAATGTATTAAAACGTGTACTTGCTAAACCACAAGTAGATAAACATGAAGAACAGAATGTTTCTGTTTACTGTTACTCGAAATGTCGAAGGCAATTCATTATTCAATATAAACAAATTGTGAATTTATGGCATAAAGTAAGTTTTTCCTTATTGGTTTCAACATCAATTATTAAATAATGGTTGATAGTATACTTAGAACGATCGTAAAATAAGTAAGGGGACTTTTGTCAGTTGGTCAATCACTTAACTGCAAAACGTTTGACTGTCGGTTTCGGGGTGTATCAGCAAGTATACGATGTAAACTTTATTAAAAATTAAAGACTTTATATGATATCCTACAGAATCGGTCTCAATGCTATCGTCTTTTAAAATTATACGTTTCAGCACTATCTTATACTTCTTTCTGCTTACTGCAGCGATAATGTGCTACAAGTTAGATCGTTACATATTTGTATCAAGTTGAGCCATTTGTTTATGATTGACTTAAGACATTATTATCAGTCACTTAGTCATCATCAACGTAAACCCTGACACAGTTGTAAATGAGCACAAGTTACGATAGTGCAATTAGTACGACGAAATAAAACTGAAAAAATATAATGGGTGAGTGGATTTGCTCGATTATGAATGATTTTGAGTTGTGCCAATGATTTCAGTTTACAAAATTTATCAGGATACGTACATTCGATTTTCAATATTCATTTTCATCCAAACATATACAATAAAATAATATTAATTTAATATTTGTTCCCAATTAATAACTTACTGAAATTAGGACATTACTCACATTACTCTTCATTTGTGCAACACATGTAAAAGTCGAAGAAATAAGTAAACTGCAACTATTTTTGATCACAAATATCACCAAACCAACAATTTCAAAGTTTTATATTTGTATCTTGTGTAATAGTTGATTTCAATATCAGATCATCTTAACTGTTATAAGTATGATGTAATTCAAAGTTTGAAATGAAACTTTGAAAGCATGCAACTAGAAATTCATTCTATGATTATTTTATATAAAACTCATTGTTGTTATTACATATATTTTACGTTAAAATGACTAAAATTATAGTTTATAATACAAACAATTAACTGTGGCATGCAAAGTTTATCCAAGTAATTAGGTACTGTGGTGTCGGTTACTATGTTAAGCCCATATGCCTTATTCTAGCTTTCGGACAAACCAACCTGTTCATTCTACTTGAGTCACATTTTGACCTTGTTAATTATTCGCTTATCAATCTTGACTTTTTATATGAGTGCGGTAGGTGTGTGTACACTTCTTATCCCATTCCTCATCACATGTTTGTAACCTATTTTTGTGTGATTATACATATTGATTAATGCTTGGTTGAATGGGTGTTGGCTTACTAGCTATCTCCACTACGCATCCATTCGCTTCATTTACAAAATATATGTATTCAAAAGTCCATTCTCATTATTTGACTTATTTAATTCCGTTATTGATTAACGTGATTTAAGTCGATGATTATATACGAGGATAGGCGACATATATATTTTGACAACGATCATTCATGCGATCTCCTTGGGGTCAGAACTTGGGCACTAAAGCGAAGAGCCCGTCAACATACATCATCCAATCTAAATGACGACAAAATAAAGGGCTCCACTAAAGTACAATATTGTTCTTTTTTACTTAGTATTGTGGTTCGTGCTACTTATATTGATATAAGTAGTATATAACACGGGTTAAAGAACTTAATGTCTGGCAGCAGAAGATGGGGTAAGATCAAGAAAGGAAGAGCGCGAACACGATGCAATTTGTAAAAAAACGCACGAACAATGAAATCTGAGTCAATGGATTGATGTTTGCAACAAGAACAGTGCAGATTGATATGATGGATTGATATTTTGCAAATTGGTGATTTACTATATGGTTTTTTCCATTTTACCAAGTAACTCTGTAATTTCTCGCTAAATACAATTCCATTGTCCCCACCTGTGTTCCCCTTCACTACAGTATTACTATTATCTTGTAGCTATTATTCACCAGTTATTTGATAAAACAATTAACTACACATAGTGATAAATTTAACATTATCAGTCTATTTTATTCTATGCTCTATGTTCTCAACTATTCATATTGTTATATATTAGCAGTTCTAACTATCTAATCATTAAAAATTCTTAATTATCACCTTATTTAACTAACATGAATATGTTTAACACTGAAACAAAGAAATCAAAACTGTGTCAGGTTATGGAGATGATTTGCGATTATTTTCAAATCATATCGTGTAAATTATAAATAACTATTTAATAAACAAATAAGAAATAACACTTAAATAGTGGCTGGAGGTAGTCGACAGGAAACATTGGACACGGGTTTCGTGCTACTTGGCAGTCGTCAGCAAGGTGTACCCGTAGTCTTGAGGGAACTAGTGCTCCCTGGCGTTCTCGATCTTGTGTCACCCAGCTTCACAGTCAGAGACGTCACCACTAAGCTATTCGAGCCGCGACCGACCTCCTGTAGAAATAACACTTGTTTATTTAAATAATCTGATTATTAATAAACTATAAGTCCTACCTCTTGTTTACTTGACAAATTTATCATTTCGTTTAAAATAAAAAAAAATTTATTAAATTTTGAAAATTGATTTGGGAAGCAAAATCTTGAATAGTCACTACTTTTTGTGACTAGTATCATCAATGTATGAATGTAGCTCAATGAATCTATAACTTTCTTACCAATTTTCTAGATCATGAGTTTCAGTACGTCTTCATATATACATACATACATTTTCATTCCAATAACTTTAACTATCTTCTCAATGTTCAATTGTTCTTATTATGATTGCTATTACATTTATTCTATATCTTTTCTAATCATCGTTTCAATATGGTAACTTGAACCAACGAGCATATATATATATATATATATTTCACTGGTTGAAATCATGAGTCAATTGAAGTTAGACCACCATGGAAAACCTGGAAGCACTGGACGGCCGTTTCGTCCTAGGTTTTCCTTGGTGGTCTAACTTCAATGGACTCATGATTTCAACCAGTGAAATTTCTAAAATCTCCACAAAACCCATTCTGATATATATATATATATATACCAGGATCTATACTAATTATGACTAACTGCCTAACTCTCAAATAATCTTTTGTTGCTCTACTAAACCTTTGTTGTTATTCTCTAATTAATCGACATGATTCAAGTTTACCTATTTCAGTAGGTTCAGTTCGATGAATTTTCAAAAAAAACTATATTTTAAAAATATCACTGTTTGCTTATGTAGATGAAAGTAGGTACTGATTATTGTATCATATAAAAGTAAATGTGATAAACGTTTATTTCTTAAGTCAAATTACTTGATAATGACAAAAATAATTCAAAATAGCCTGAAGCAAATTGAAATTCGTTGTGGGATTGGTAAAGTGAAATTTAAAGAAAACTTGTGTTGTTTCATTAGTTGAATTAACCGCTTCTATCATTTACATTTTTAATCTGTGAGAAATGGTTCCTGACGGCTCACTAAAATCTTCCGTCTAGAAAATGTTAAAATTAAGTAGAATCATTTTTATAAACAAAGATGGATAGTGGCTCACAATGCTTGTAAATTAAGGCAATATAGAGGCAATACGCAGAGTACGCATATATGCCAATAACAAACTGATCAATTGCAGTCCTAAACATCAATGGGAAGATTCAAGTAAACCAATACCAAGTGAATTAGGATCATGTTTGTTTCAATTTATTTTGTCAAGTCGATAAAAAGATATTCAGTGTACAAAATAAATGTATTTCATTGTATTACAAGATAATACTATTAGCAATAATATTAGTGCTAATATAAACAAGTAATATTTCATTTTGAATATGGACATTGATTTCAGTTATAATGACTGTCATCTGTCACCATTGAAGTGCATAATACTAACGTAATTTACTTTAGATTATCAGTATTTGTCAATCAAATTGGCCAGCTTACAGTATATCCTACTCTGTTACTGAAATCTGAAATATAAGGGTTTATTTTCATGTGTATACGTCTTCTTTGGTGAAAAGTAGCAAAATCTTTATCTTACAAATTACAGCGTTGCGATATTTGGTGTGCATACAACTCCCTATTACAGTGTAATATACTCACACACATATATATTACATTATGTATTTCATGGCTTCAATGATATATTTTCCACATTGTTTTTTTTTGTTTATTAGCTCGATCAAAGTTTAAAATGTTTGCGAATCCAATTATTGTCACAACAACAATCGGAACATGCACTCATCCGTGACTTAATTGAATTCGAATGTGAAGAACAATGGGTTGATGAACAAACACTACAACTGAATGAATTATTGACAGTAGATGAAACGATTTTCCAAAATCTATCTAAACAAATAATCCCAATTGACTTGATTGGATCGACTGTGGAACAAGATACTCAAGTATTGGCGAATATTAATTGTAGTAATAGTAGTACTAGTTTAATTTTGGATTCAGGATGTGATCATGTAATTCATAATACAAGTAGTTGTGAGTTGAAAGAATGCGTTTCTAACTCAGTAAATCATGGCGATCATGAAGATGATGATGATGATGATAATGTTGCGGATGACCATGACTATGATATTGATGGTTCGGTTGATGAGGGAATATGTAAAGATTTAGAAGTGCGAATCACTTTTGCAAAAGTAGGTTAATTTAGTTTTGATAATGTTTATGTGTTTCAGTTGATATTTTGATTATTTGGCTGTTACTTTATGGATCTTAATGTATAATAATTACTTGATTAGAAGTCGTCGAAAAATGTATTATATGGCTTCTTGATTGTGACCATATTGTATCAGACTGTGGAAACGATTCCACGATTTTTAATGAGAAATAATGACTGGTAAGTACTAAACATGTTCCACGTAAGACGGTCATCATTGACGACATCAAACTATTGTCGACTTACATCAGGAACTGAATGAAGTAAGAAACGTAGACAAAATGGATTTAGACAAAAGTGGTTCGCTCATTGAAAACCATGAATGTCATGATTTCAAACTCTTTTAGAGCTTTAGGTGAGCTTTTTTATTCTCCAATAAGTAAGCTGCTTAATTGGCAAAAAATAGAATAATTTTGTGTAATTTCTTAATATCAATGGAGAAAACGTTTATTTTCAGTAAATCAAGGTTGACTAGGTAAATATTAATTTATATATTTAGCTGGCTAAATAAATTAATCGATTTGTTAGGAGAATAACCAAAGTTTGTTCTTTTACCAGAATTGTATAAACAAATGAGATATCGCTTATGTGAAAACTTTAATAATATCTAATCTTTCTTCGATTTCGATAAGTTTCTTATCAATTCTTAGCACACGGAAGATTATCAGTTACCTCTAGGAAAGGTCACCTTCTTGAAAACTCCTAACGTTGACATTTTACAACATGGTTGGCGACGCAAACATCACGATGTTACAGAGTTCAAAACTAATCACTTATTTCATTTTTTTTACCTTCTTAATTAATGTCTGTAAGACATTTCCCAGAGCTTGCTACCATCTACCTTTGAAAATAATATTAAAAGCTTTATTTACAGGGATATTAGGATTATACAGCTTCGTTAATCTTTTATCGAGCATTTAACAAGTAATTATTCAAAAACATCTTCCCTACCAACATTTGGTTATTATGTTATAATAACTTTAAATTATTCTAATGATAACAATCTATAAAGAAGAAACCTTATACGAAATTGAATAATTGACCAGCCAAGTATTTTTCGTAAAATAGAGAATCCGACAGCATTAATTTCATTATTGTAAACTGAACTTTTTGTTACAGTACAAAAAAGTGCAAAATATATATAAAGATTACAAGTCAGGTATCTTATTGTATATTGTTTGTTTCTTGGAAAAACTATAATCCATTGGAACACATGGTTGTGTAATATTATTTTGGTAAACAATTCAAATTTTGTTGTTTTTTTGTTCTTGAACAGCTTACAGGCGAGTGTGTGTTGACGATCTGTATAACGAATACATCGACAATTTACAACAATGTATTCTATTCATATTTTAACCTTACTAAAAGGGTATATCGATTTCAAATCCCACTACCTCAGTGTACTATTTGTTTTAAGAATATAAGGTGATTTAAACAATTTTAACCTTTAAGATTAATCAAAGCAAATATATCTTACTGTATTAAATCTTAAGTCAACGAAACTACTGTCCAATGTTCAGGTCATTGTAATCAGACTAGTCACTAAGATTTGTTGGTATGAATAGTGGTTTGAAAATTAGAAAGCCGTGTATTATATTTTATATAAGTTCAGTGAAGCCTGTATACGCGAATAGTCATTTCTCATTGCCTAATATCTGTAACTGAGATGGTGGAAAAGATTCGTAGATCAGGTGGATGATTTTGGTGGAGTTCTGTTCACTGGGCTGGATGATTTGGTCATGGAGCCTTGATCGTTCTTCAGAACAATATCATCTGCACACGTTCAGAAAAGATTATTATTTTTATGATTACTATTGGTATAAGGAGATTATATAAACTTTTAAATTCGTTATTTTACATCAGATATTGGTTTGTGTCGAACAACCATTGAAAACCAAGAAATACTGGATAGTTGTTTCATCTTAGGTTCGTTTATATGCTGTGGTGAGGTGTCTCATACCAGGACGAAACAGTTATCTAGTGTTTTCTCAGTTTCCAGTGGTTTTTTAATTATAGTGTCAGTTCGTGAGATAAACTATAAAAGAGCTTTATATTTTGTATACTATGAACTTTAATACTGATTCTTTTTCGTCATTATTAATTATTATCGTTTGTACAGGAAAACTTTGAAGCCATAAAAAATAGAGAACAGAAAATCTGTGATTGTATGAATGCTTATCGAAACCTTTGTGAAATTATTACTGATAATGGAAACAGTAGTATAAATAATCTCCCTTCTATTGATGTTACTGCACAATATTCACCAAGAAAGGAAATGGTCAATGAAAATTATAATAATGATTATTCCTACTCACCTTTTACTACTGTTGCTGATCAGGATAATTGTGATAGAGCAAACAAATTGAAAACCTCTTATTACAATCTACTGAATCAGTCTAGTCAACGAATTAAACAATTGGAATGCTATCATAAAAAATTACTTGAGGTATATATATATATATAAATTTTAAGTGTATGTAATATTTACTTAATCTATTTTCGTTCGTCAATATTCTTACCAAATCTGTTGTTTTTCGACTAATTCCATTGTATCACAGCCTCATGAACCCCAACTATACCTGCTAGTTACTGTTTTGGCAATAATGAGATGTCATCATTACGTGTGCCTCATGCATCACACCCTTGACTCGATTAATATATTTCCTAATGAATATATAGATACAAATATGTACTCTATGCAATTAATCCCACTGTATTCCTTAATATAGTTGGTTGTGTAAATTTTAGAGTTAATAATGACAATACTTATTAATAAGAATATCATCTAAAAAAAAGATGAGTGTATAATTTAAAATAACATTATGTCATAGCAGAGAGTAGAAAAATCGGAACTAAATAGAAAGGATTATTGACTGTAATGTGTACTTATAAGTTAGGACTACGAATGAAATGTGACCTTAATCTGAGTCATAGTAAACGAAAAGCTATCTTATTTTGTTCATAAAGGTAGGGTTTCTTTAAGTTGATGCCAGTCGTATAATCATAAGCCTTTAGGTAAAGTATTGAGAACTTTATATGTATAACTGAAAAAAGCATGTTCGATCTCAAAATATTATATCCGCTGTCAATTCGATAACTCTTCCTGGATAATGAAGGACTCTGTAGACGCCCGACTTCGAGACCAACAGACAGGATTCCGTAAGGATCGATCGTGTAGAGACCAAACACGACACTACGGATCATTGTGGAACAATCAACTGAATGGAATTCATCACTTTACATCAACTTCATTGATTACGAGCAAGCATTTCATAGCATGGACAGGAAAACACTATGAAAGCTGCCATCGAGAAGATGCAAGTGTTTATTAACAGTTGTCTACGCAAAATACTTCGTATCCGTTAGCCAAACACTATCAGCAACAACCTACCATGAGAGAGAACAAACCAGATTTCAGCGGAGGAAGAAACCAGAAAGAAGCGCTGGGAGTGGATAGGACACACATTGAGGAGAGCACCGAACTGCGTCACAAGGCAAGCACTCACATGGAATTCTTAAGGTCAAACGAGAAGAGAAAGACGAAAGAACACATTACGCCAAGAAATGGAAACCGAAATGAGAAGAATGACCAACAATTGGACAGAACTAGGAATGAAGGCCCAGGACAGAGTGGGTTGGAGAATGCTGGTCGACGGCCCATTCTCTATTGGGAATAACAGGTTCAAGTAAGTATGTAACTCGTCAATTTGATGGAAAAGAATGACATTACTTATGAACTCAGTAACACTTTTACCTAATCGTACTACGCAGTTGTTCATTTTCGTTTCTATAAATTAACTTATCACATATGAAAGATATTTATGCAATTATTATTAATATTAGTAATTGGCGTCTGTCAGTTGAAGCGAATCACTAAGATCAGGGCCATGAAATAGTTCTGTTTCAGTTTCTCAACTTATCGATATTGTCCAATATCCAATTCCTACAACACAGTGGTCAGAAACTAGGATCTTAAGGACACGCTATCGTTGTGTTAGTCGTTTTGAATGACATACTTGAGAAATCTTTCAAAATAAGATATTTGACTAATTATATTGTTTATTTATTTAAACAAAATATTTGTACAAAATGACACTAGAATAAGTAAACCCCACATAATATAAAAATGAGATTATAAAAAGATAGAGGAGTTTGAGAATGATCAGAAACAAAAAACCGATCAAAATAAGTAAAGGAAGGTAGTACATAATGGGGTAAGCAGTTCAGCTAGGAAATATACGACCAGAAATAACCTCAGTTAAAGCCGTTTCTCTCACATTTATGAAGAAAGTAAATAAAAGTTCAGCATAACCATCACTTTCTTCTATTCTGAGCTGTGTCTAATAAAATAAACCACTGTGTTGCACTATCTCTAATATTCTAATCAGGGGGTCGTGAGGGACCGACAGATGTCCGTCCCACACAACTTTCTTCCACACTATAGCCTCACGTCATCCTTTGACCACCTCTCTATGTCTTCTAACCAGGTGGGACTACATTCGTAGTGCAATTTCAGGTCATCGAATTCGGTGTTTTAAAGTGGTGACACAAATTAACATCACTGTTCCGAACATGTTTTCAAACTTCAGCGTTACTAACATGGTCTTGCGATAGAATGTCACCAATCCTTCGGAGACAACAATGACCAAACACAAAGCGTTGTCTAACACCAATTTGGAGGGACTATTTTTCGTAAGCATAGATTAAAACTACTTTCATTAGTACGTTGTAAACCCGGCCTTTCACAAAAAGACTAACATTACATCAGTGCCAAAAGTAGCCCACATGAGCATAAACCACTCTGTCTGTCACTATACGTAGATTAATCTCATCACTCAAGGAACTACCCAGATGCACGAACTTTTAGGCTACTTCTGATAGTTCACCACTAAGAGCGAATGAAGAAGTAGGTTCCTATCAGTCTTTTAAAAGTACTTTGCATATAGAAGGTTCAAAGTACATGCCATACTCACGGACGCTGATTGCTAACTGATTAAATGCGGATTGCATGGCTTGAGTATCATGGACAATAAGACAGTCTCATCCACATACTCAAATTTAGAAAGTCTTTTTCCAGGTATCGGATCTAGACCATCATTACCTACATCGATCAGAGTTGTTTACGAAACGTCTCGATGGCAAGGTTGAAAATGAATAGTGAGATTGGGTAACCCTGCCTAACTCCACTGCTTGAATGAAACAATGGGGAGAGCTAGTTGTATGCCCTTACTCTGCCTGAGTTATTTGTATGTAGAACCTTCAAGATATTGGTAAACTTTTCAGACACCCTTCTTCAGTAGAAAATCTCGATATCTACAGTCCTGTCCAACAAATCGAAGGAGGCCCTGATGTCATGAATCACAATGATCGTTGACCTGCAATAAGTATGGCTATGTTGCAACATTTGACAGGGTGAAGATACGATCAATACATCCTTGACAAGAACAAAAACCGGCCTGCTACTAGCGAGTCAATTATTCAAACCAACTAGAACATCATATCGACCTAGGAGATTAACACTTTAAAAACTAATACAAATGAACAACAGCATGGAAAAGAGAAATCCTCAATCAATTTTTTAAACATAGAGTATGGTTAAGCGTAAGATGTAACTTGTGCTTGCCACTTTTCTATCTGTGTAGCCTTTCGATATTATGCTTAGAATCATTAATTATCATATGTATAATTATTTTTAAAACACCAATGTTTCTTTAATTACATAGTCCCTGATTTCAGTCATGTTTGCCTTCCTTACAACTTTTGCAGCACAATCTTTTAGTTCATTTCAATTTCGATCTGTGGAAGCAGGGGTACTTACAGTGGATTGCAAATCGTCATTATCGACTAAGTGACATATTTAACCCTAAAGCCTTATCGGCATTACGAACTGACAGACAGCTATCAAACATATCCACCAATACAGATGAAGTGAATTCTGATTTATTCAAACGTCCAACACGATTATCTAATGTATCTACGAATTCTCAGTCAGTTTATACTTCGTCTAATAATATCAAACCCCAGTTATCTAACAGTCGTTCATCTCTCATCCGATCGAGTCGTGAATCATTGCAACCGCTCTCTGATAACAAACATAAACAAAATGTCAGTCATAAGCCAGATGAAGTAAACTGTTCACAATTTATACAAGCAGTTCTACATGGTAGACCAACACATGATTGGGCAAATCCTATTTTCATCAAGTCTGCATTTTATACAATTGACCAAGCAAAAAAGGGCATAGTTACATGTCATCAGATTATTGAAGCATTAAGTCCGAAAAAACAGGTAATTATATATATATTTTTTTTTATTTCTTCGGTTTAAAAGAAGCAATTCAAACTATTCGTGTTTTCATATCAAAATTATAACTCATAAACGTCTGAAACGAACTATTCAATTGAATGCTCAATATAGATGGTTAGTTCAACAATTAGGAACTAGATGTAATCAATCATTCACAAAAATAACTCTTCAAAGGACACATAAATGTTAAGAAAAAAGAAGTACAGATCGTTACAAGAGACTTTGTATTAGTTTAGGAATAGACCATATTTTAACGACAGAATATAGTACACAATGTTAAGTGTAAATGGCCATAATACAATAGTAAACAATTCAATACACTCATAAAAAAAAATAACAACAGTAAATTAGTTACTATTCTTGTTGTAACGGGTGAATTGCAAGTTAAATGGAGCAGCGTATTTATCGATCGATAACGTCCAAGGACATCATTAGACTTAACATGATAATGATTGGCATATTATTCCTCAGCATCCATAACAATTCTTAATGTTTCATCTAGTGAAATAAGTTTTTCATCATAAGTGCTCTTACTCAAAATAGTTTGCTTTAAACCTTTCGTACACATATACCTTGTAAAATTGTATATCAATATGATTTTGGTTACAGATTTATGAGGCATCTTTATTATGGTTTCATTAACACATACGTTTGTCAGATTTGTTTATAAAGACAAACAGTATTCTATAAAATGACGATAAACTTTGTAAAATAAATCCTATTCTGTTATATTTGCATAATCAATAATTGTTCCTTTCATGTTCCCATTTTTAACCAACCTACAATTTGCAAATAGTTTTAACATATTCAGTGAAATACTTTGATGAAAGTATAAGTTATTCAGATCTACTAAATGGATAAACTGGTATTTCTTGAGTAACTTTATACTACATTAATTAATCAATTTAAGTAAAACAGTCACCTGATCTCCCAAGACCAACTAGCTAAAAATGCTTTTCGTTCTTTAATGCTTAATATTCTAAATATAAACGGTTTCCGTTCAAATTTTGTTTAGGATGTAATCAAATTTATCTTTATTAGTGGAATCTAATTGGATATTCATTATCAACTGTATTAGTAGTTAATATTATCTTTTTATTCTCATTTGTTTCACAATTACTTACTTACTCCTGTTATTCCTCGTGAAGGAACATAGGCTGCTCACCAGCATTCGCCATCCAACCCTGTCCTGGGCAAACTTGTTTCACAATGTATCTATGTAAATATGAGATACAAATACTTTATAGTCATTTGTCTAGTATGTATATAATCAAGAGTTGATACAATGTTGTCAACTCTAAAACTAGTCTAAAAACAATTACTCGGTATTGTTTGTTTGATGTTTAGGACTGCAATTGATCAGTCTCTTATTGGCATATGTGCATACTGTGCATATTGCCTCGATATAGCCTAAATTCAAACAAACAATACCAAGTGAATTTAAACTTCACCCCATCGCATAAGAAAGTGGCTATCAGGATTCAGTGGGTAAGTGGATGATGCGATGGCGTTTGAAGCAAACGGTGGGTGTGCACTGCTGAGGAGTCCCACAATAGGACGAGACGGCCATTCAGTGCTTCCAGGTTTTCCATGGTGGTCTAGCTCAAATGACCTATGATCTCAACTATTAAAATTGTATAACACTCTTCTATTTTATCATAAATTACTAGATGTAAAAAATTACCTATAAATGCAATTATACATCATAGGAAAATGGTATCGTTGAAAAGAAACTTTTCTTCGCTGAAAAGTTATCTTTGTTTTCTTCCCTAATGAATCAATGGATTTCTTTTATTATTTTAAAGTCATTTTCTATAAATAAGGAGTAATTGTTACATAGGCCGCACAAAGCGATCAATTTCCAAACGCATCTCTGAACACTATCCGGTTTGGCTTTTAAAAGGTGAATGTAAAACAATTACTAATTCTATACAAGAGCATTTAATAAATTGTGGACACATCGCTTGGTGTTGTTTTACTTTTACCTTCCCATTATTATTTAGGACTGCAATTGATGCACTTATGCCAATATGAGACTGATCAATTGTAGTCCTAAATAACAATGGGAATATACAAGTAAAACAATACCAAGTGAATATAACTTCACCTCATTCACAAGCAAGTGGCTAACAGGAATCAGTAGCTAAGTGGATAACGCGATGGTATTTGAAGTGAACGGTACTGGGTTCGAGTCCTGAAGTGAACACCAACTGTGAGATGCAGGTACATATAGATGACGAGTCCCAAATAGGGCGAAACTCGTGTCAAACAGGATTCCACTGCTAGTCACTATCCATCTTTACGTAATCTAAAAACAATTTAATTGAAAAGACAGAGTATCCGTTAATCACTGTTCTAGAATAAATCTTTTTAATATATTTTTTCAAAACTTACAATCTATTTTTTGATACAGAAAGAAGTAGTTGTTTTTTATCGAATTCAAATTACATTTTTCAGCATAAACCTGTACCAACTGATAAATTAATTGAACATGCAATAGAACAAGAAACTAGTAAATGTATTTGTCAACCAAAATTTCAACCGAGAAAAATTGGAAAGGATCGATATTGTGTAAGTTAAGTTAATTTAATTCTGTTATACTCTTGCCTACAACACTAATGACACATGTTCATTAGTTTATTTTCGTACATGTGATCTATAAAATAGGTTACGAAAATACTGATGCTTCCTAAAACTCCATGCAATTAAATGACGATCTGGGTCCGATTCTCAATAGGATTGTGAATACACACTGATGAACAGATGAATACTTAGACCAAAGATCTATTTATTACTTCTTGGTTTGTGATAGTTTTTTTAACTAAGTGTAGTTTATAATGTAAAAATATCAAGTTCAGTACGCTCTATACTAAATAAAAAGGCCTACTCTTTAATTAATTTCTACTTTATTTTATTTAACATATGTGTTCCATGTAACTGTTTTCGGTGTGAAAAAGCAAGAGGTAATTTGCTTATATAGTTTTTTTTGGCTTGTTTTAAAGTTTGGATCCAGTTCACGAGTTTACTTGGTTCGCTTCTTGAATAGTACAACGATTGTGCGAGTAGGAGGCGGATGGATGAGTTTAAATGAATTCTTGGATTCACGTGATCCATGCAGAAGTAAGCTACTAGTTTGGTGATTCTGTATATTTTATCAAGTATTACCTACTCCACCACTCAGTATAATGGGTATTCATGTTCATATGAAATTACAGAGTTTGTGATCGAAGCTGATGAAAAACAACTGGATCATGACAGGACTCAATTTATAACTTTTGAGCTACCAGTATCATTGAATTTTGACAATTGACGATCAGCTAGATTACGATTTTTCTCTAATCAAATACTATTTTAATAGTTGAACTCTTGAGTCGATCTAAGCTAGACCACCATTGCAAACCTGGAAGCAATGGATAGCCGTTTCGTCCTAGTGAGAGACTCCTCAGCAGTGCGCATTCACGATCCCGCATGCGTGACTCGAACCCAGGACCTTCAGCCTCGCGCATGAACGCTTAACCTGTAGACCACTGAGCTGGCATCCAGAAGTATCCAGAGATGTCCCATACTAGGACAAAACCGCCGTTCAGTGCTTCCAGATTCTCAATGGTGGTCTAACATTGGTTGATTGATGATCTCAATAAAAAATCTAACGATTTTCATAACCTTCGCACCGATGTTTGATTATGGTACCATAGAAATGAATTCAATCATCATTTTGAGATTAGATAGTTTTCAATGAAATTAGAGTAAACAATATGGTTGAATTGAAATAGTAAATTATACTACACTTTCCTAATACACAGGATCGTGGATGCACATTGCCGATGAGTCTCACACTAGGACGAAACAACTGTCCAGTGCTTCCACGTTTTGAATGGTGCTCTAGCTCAGATTGACCCATAAATTCAACTTTTAAAATTACTACAATCTCCACAAACCCCCATTCTCACATACTACTTTATTAGGTTCTTATACTCTTGAAATGAATGCAGTCAGTTGCAACTCACCATTTAATTCGCTTTATCAATTGTTCTTAGACCATTTCAACACTTACAGAGTTAGGTAGAGAGTGCTATTCGAAACACTTTGGTTGACGAGGAAAAAACTCTAATGTTTTCTAATTTGATGTTTAAGTTTTATAGTCTATCAATTAATAATGCATTGTTAAACCGCTCCAGTGCTATAGTATGCTTTCATTAATCATTTGTAATGAGCATTTTTAGTAAACTATGCTATCACATCACTTTCTCAGGTACATGTTTATTGATAGATGAAGAAAATCATTCACAGATTATATTGTCTAATTCATCTTTATTGTTCATAAAAGAAAATAATAACGAAGTGGTTGCAATTATGATTCATTGTTGAAATTTAAAGAGTAGTGCTTTATACGTAGATACTATTCAAAAACACATGTTTCCTTTCTCTACACGTTTCCTTTTGTTGTTTTGGAATGATGAACTAAATTTGTATCTCGAATGAGTACTTTTAACACTGTTAAATTACCCTGAGATACTCAGTTTATTTGTAAAGCTTTCATTAAAATCTTTACTTTTATTTCAATTTAACTCTGATGATTTTTATCCAGAACAACAACAGAAGCTTTGCAGTTCCATGAAATTAACATAACTAGACGTGCCTTCTCTGTATTTTAAGAAATCTCCTTGTATTTGATGTTGAGTCACTTAGATTAATGGTAACATTGTAACCTGATTTATTTATTTATTTATTTAAACACCTACATTAATACAGAGTAGCACCAAAATACACACGCGCCACACAAGTTTTCATTAAATTTGTGTGTGGAATTCGATACTGTCCTGGTACCCAGACCTAAACAGGTGATTTTCTTAGGTGGCCGCTCGCCGAGTCTTTGGCCTAATGGTCAAATCCACAAGGCAGTGGAGCAACATTAAGAAGTGCGGTCTTATGGTAATTGGTGACCAAGACTACGTTTGTGCTCTATTTTTCCCTCGGGATCCTGGAGCCCATGTGCACCATTGGTTTGAAACCAGGGTTTTTCGGCTTCCTTAGATCGATGCTTCGTATCCAAAAACCCGGTTTAACCGTCATGTATTCACTTTTGCTCCTCTCAGTTTCGTAAACACCACTCTTGTTGCAAAAAGGCAGTGAGTAGAGCTCCCCTAGGATTAGCAATATGCGCGTGGCCAAATAATAGCATCTCGAAAGGGTGACGGGATTTTTCCCACTCTCGGCTATATCAAGGCATTTGGAAGTAAACTAGCCGATAGAACTCGGCCAGCACTAAAGGAACAAATAGACATCTCACTGGTCATTATTCACTGAACGATCAAATGTAAATTGTACTTCCAAATATCGACTGTTTCATTATTACCTACTAGTGATGGTAGGGGGTTGGACGTAATAGGATGGCACATTATTTAAAGTTTATAAATCTATGTATTGGAGATGTTTTTGCAGGAGAAAAATATACACAACTGTATGCTGTATAAACTACATACATTTTTAAACAAAGTATATTTGGCATAGCATAAATTAAACTGACAAAAAATATTCGTTATGTGTAGTACAAATATGAATCATAATGGATTGAGTCATAAACTTAAAATAAACAATACTTATTTATTGTTTATGCATGTTATATGCCAATAATAATAATAATAATAGTCTGATTTAAACATTTTTTCATTTATTCTATTCGGATAAACTAGATGTAGACAAAATTATAAGCTTGAATCTGTAATGTCTTATAATTGATAAATCAATGGATATCTATCCTTTCCACCTTCCTGATCGTTGGGTTATTTTGTGAATTGACTAACGTAAGTGATGTGAATCGTTGATTGTCACCTTACTGATCTAATAGTAAGTCTCTCTCTGTGTATGTGTGTGATACCCAAAGGTCCTTCATTCAATCTCTGGTGTTGGATTGTGGGTATGTGCTATTGATTAGTCCCATACTATTACTAAATAACAATCTAATGATTCTTGGAGACAAATGATTGTCTAACTAAAATCCAAACCCCAAAAGGTAGGATTATTTTATGTTTTTGTAAACAAGATTGTTAGTTTCGACGATATTGTGAATTTTACAGTATTTCACAAGTGTCCATTAGTGAATTCTCTTTTTCGCAGCCAATTTTTATTAGACTAGTTCGGCTAAATACCTGAAAATATTGTAAGAATATTTTAAAATGAATGTAGTTACACAAGTATTATAACACGAAACCTGGCTAAACTCCTACAGTTTAATCATCTCTTCTGAAAAATCTTGAAATGTTTTTAATGGCCCGAGATCTGACTCCAGTAATTGAGATATACAATGTCGTCAATCCTCATATATTATTATCTACTTAATCCGCGTTAGTGAATAACGGAATTAAAATAAGTCAAATACAAGGAAGGATTTCGAAAATGTATATTTTCTAAAATCATTGATCTGAACAGAAATTCAGGAGGATGAAGCGAATAGAAGAGAGCGAAGTGAAATGTCACGCAGTGGAGAAGGCATGTGAGCCAACTTCAATTAATCAAGCGTTAGTCAATATTTATAGCCAGATAAAAATAAGCTACAGACATGTGATGAGTAGGATAAGAAGTGTACACACACATACGCTCATATAAGAACAGTCAGCGTTGATAAGTGAATAAGTAACAAGGTCAAGACGTGACTCAAGAAGGATGAATAAACTGACCTGTCCATAAGTTAGAATCAATTATATAGGCCTAACATAGTGACTGACACTATATGTTCACTGGCAATTTTCGTATGATTATTATCTTCCCAAACTTAAATCACTCAATAAGTGTTTTATCGAATCTTTTTTGATTATTCAATCAAATCAAATAAGGATTTATATCATGTAAATTTTTCATGTTGTAATGATGATAACTTTAGTTAAATTAATTAAAATGTGAATAATGTAATATTTTATATTATAGTTACCCATAAAACAAGTCATTTTGGTAGTACACCTATAAAGCCTAATCTGATGAATACAAATTCCACATCAAAACGTGAAAGTAATTTAGGATTAATTAATGTAACTCCAATTAATAAATCACGTCTTACTACACTAAACAATATGAACTCTAAAGAACAAAGATCATTTGTATCAACTCCTTTAACAAATAAGGACTGTGACATGAAATCACTGAATTCATCATATGAGAATGAAGCATCAATCCATAACAACTCTTCATTACTAAAACAAACTGTTCCAAGTAAGTATTTTATATGAGGATTAATATATTTGATATGTGAATGGTTGATACTGACTTGTTAACTGCCTGATTCTTCATAAATTTATTACACTTAAACCTTGAACAGGAAATTTTGTAATCATTCTAAAATTAGTAACCAAATTTGTAGTTGTTTAATCCGTATATTACTTATAATCCATCATTGCTCTGGGAAGTTTCTACTTTACATTAATTGTTCAGAGTATTTTCCTTGATTTCTAGCTCCTGAAGACATTTCTGAGGAAATCCTCAAGGCACCCAACATATATATAGACCGGTTGAGTACCAGTAGCTACACAATGATAATAATAATGATATATTTGGAAAATGAGTACGGAATACATGTCAGTTTTCAGAAATAATCAAATCGATAGATATTAACAATGATAAAGGAAAGCGTTCGCTTTCCTAAAACACTCGGTTTCTAAATTTCATTAAATTGAGCAGTTCGGACAAAGTTGTTAGTCATAGGAGATATGAAATGTGTGCAGGATGTGTAAACATAAATGATATCATTTTACAGTACAATATTATCAACTATATATACAACACAACAGATATAATTTTAACAAGCGTAGAGTCATCATTCATAAACAAAATGTAACCTTATGATAGTATAAACAGAAATGTCGAAATCGTGACATTAATACATTATTAATTGCGTTTCGGCATCGTAGACTAAACCTTCACTATAGAAGGTACATGAAGCAGTCTAAGAACGAAAACGTTCAAGCTGTTTATGTGAATCATTTCATTAGAACAGTTTTTGATGTCTGAAACTGTAATGGGTTGACAGATTGTAGAATAGGCTCAGTTTGTTGAGGAGAATTCAGTGTAACAATGTAATAACGACGTACTTTATAGAACCCAATAAGGCTACTGTCAAAAACCGAATGATTTTTTCAACTCTGATGGACAATGTTAAGCTGTCATATTCATTTGAAATCAAAAGATAGTTTAACTTTCCAGAGTAGGAGACAGTATTATCTCAGAACGAAGGCTGTGGTCTCAATGTTACTGAAAGATAAAGTTTATCTCTTACTTATTTCAGAGTTGACTTTTGTCATAAGTTCACTGCAGATTCAAAGACTCATCTCGTGTACTTTTTCCTACCAATTTTATGATAATTCACTTGCTTTGATAAGCTTATCGGAAATCACTTCAATGACTGGACTGATAATTTACTCAAGAAACTAGTCATCTTCGTATACTTATGTAACATATTTATTAAATTTTTCAGTAATTATAAATATCGAGCTGAAATGTGAAGAAATAGCCAGTAAAGTTTCTCGTCAATTATCTTAAACTTCAACTTTATAAGCAAAAATGGATAGTGGCTAGCAATGGAATCCAGTTCGACACGCGTTTCGCCCTATTTGGGACTCGTTAGCTGGATGTGCCTGCATCTCACAATTGATGTTCACTTCGGGACTAGGACCCAGTACCGTTCAAATACCATCGCGTTATGCACTTAGCTACTGAGTCCTGATAGCCACCTGCTTGTGCAATAAAGTGAAGTTATATTCAATTGGTGTTGTGTACTTGTATCTTCTCATTGTTATTTAGGACTGTAATTGATCGGTCTCTTTTTGACATATGTGCATCCTGTTCAGACTGCCATGATATTACCTGATGTCACAAGCTTTATAAGAAAAGATGGATAGTGTTTAGCAGCGGAATCCAGGACAAGCGTTTCGTCCTAAATAACAATCGGAAGATACAAGTAAACAACACCAAATGAATTAAACTTCAACTGTTTTGATTCATTCATACATTAAATTCCATGACTCAATTATCACTTCATAATCAATACAGTAGAGTTGGTATTAATCTGCATTTGGTTATCTTTAATACCAAATATATTTGTGATCTTCCTACTAGTTAAAATTACATATTTCTAAAGTACTGTGTTTTTTTTTCTATATTTCTTTTACAAAGCGAAAACTACCATCTTCAACAGGGCTACCACTATACGGACAAGTACTAATAAGAAGATAAACAAATGATCATCTGTAAATTGAATTCGAACTCACTAATCCATCCCTGTGAACAAACAATCTTTTTTTTTGTTTTGCATTTTTTTTTTTAAAAAAATTTTCATAAATGGATTACATAACATCTTTATTGCTTAATTATTATTCAGCATTCTGTTTTGTTTGTTTGTTTGTTTGTTTGTTTGTTTTCTAATTTTTGCATAAACAATTTTATCATAGTTCTTCATGTTTACCCCCGGTTTGTTTATATCAATTATTCTAATCTAATAAGCTAAGATCAATTTTTTTTTTAAATTTTTAATCGTTTTCATGTTCCTTCTCATGATTTGATGTTTTGGAAGTTTTGAATGGTTAAAAATTTGTTACTTTGCAAATTGCTAGCAAACTATGGACGGTTCAACAGTTTGAGGAAATTTTTTTTTACTAGTGTTCACATTCGTTTCTTTTCTTTTCTTTTTATTTTTAAAAAAAAAATGTTTTCCATATCATTCCATTAAGGTTTATTTTATTAAATGCAGATAAGTGAGATTTTCTCAGATCAATTAAATACTGTTGTGTTTATGACTAAATTAGTTTCTAAAGAATAACTAATTAATTTTTACAATTTATTTTTGTTTTGTTAAATTTATCGCTTTAGAATAAAAATTTGCTTTAGTGTTTATTGTTGTGTTTTTTTTATTGAATTCACTTTTCCAATAGTGTGAATTTCTTTTACTTGATAAACGTAGATAAGTTCTAATAGTTGAAATCATGAGTCAATTAAAGCTACATCACCATGGAAAACTTGGAAGCAATTGATGACTACAGTGGTCTAATGGTTAGGCGCTCGCACGCGCGGGAGACTGATAGGTCCTGGGCTCGAATCTCACCGAGTGTAGGATCGTGGATGCACACTGTTGAGGTTTCCCATAATAGGACGAAGTGACCATCCAGTGCTTCCAAGTTTTCCATGGTGATCTAGCTTCACTTGACTCATGATTTCAACTATTGAAATCACTAAAGTCTCCACAAAACCGCCTTCTGGTATATAAATTCTATTTGTTTGTTTTTTGTTGCAGAAAACATCAATTAAAATCATCATTATTTCGTGTCAAATAATCCCTGTTAAAGTTAAGCATCACTTATATGATATTGCCACTGACTGATTGCAACATTTTAGAACTAACAACAATCATATACAGTTCATTTATTTTATTTATTTAAACACATAAACATTAGTACAAGGAGGTACCAAATAGATATCTGATGCATAAATCATTCAATTTTGGTGCTTAAACCGAAGCAGGTGGTTTTCTTCGGAGGGCAACACCCGAAGCCTTCGACCTAAAGGTCTGATCCACAAGGCAGTGGAGCAACGTCAGAAGATGCAGTCCCATGGTAGCCTGTGAGCAACGATTGGTTCATAGGCCATTTGTTCCTTCAGAATTCTAGAGGCCATGTGCACCAGGGCTTTTCAAATCCCCTAGGTGGATCCTCCGTACTCACCGCCAACCCGGCTCAAGCGCCAGACATTCGCTTTTCGTCCTCTCAATTTCATAAACAACAGTAATGCTGCGAGAAGGCAGTGAGTAGGACTTCCCTGGCAGTAGTTGTATTCACGTGGCCATGTGAGAGCATTTCAAGAAGGAGGACTGACTCTCCCCACCCTCGGTCTTACCAGGGCATTTGGGGGCGATCATACACAGAGTATTATCGAGTATATTTAACTAGATGAGGTTCTGTTTCTTAAACATAAAATAGGGTTCCTTATAATGGTGTATCATATAGCTGGATTTACAGCTGAGAAATCAAACTAGATTGGTATGATTTACAATGTTACCTAATTTAACAATAACTATATTTTCGATTGAGATCACTAACCGATTGATGTTAGACCACCATTGAAAACCTGGAGCACTGGACGACCGTTTCGATTCCTGTGAGCGGGATCGTGGATGCACACTGCTGTGTAGCCTCACAATAGGACAAAACGGTCATCCAGTACTTCCAGGTTATCAATGGTCTGACATCAATCGGTTCATGATCTCAATCAAAAACCTAATAATCTCCACAACCCTATACTGATCATTATATTTTCAACAGAATGACAATAAATTTAGGTATAAACAATGACTATTTAATAAGTCAATTTAAAATAAGAACCAAATCACATCGAATTAGATAATGTTAGTAAAGAATATATTAAACTTTCAATGGTTACATTTCTTACACGTTTCGAAATTTTGAATGTTGAACGTTGTTATCCTAGAAAGCACTACCTGAAAAAACGGTATCACTGTAATGAAATGACTGATTTAATATTCTAGTTAAATTATATCAAATTGACTGTTTACGATTAAATATTGTAAGTGATAATGAATTGTAGTTGGATACAATTGAATTTTAGAATAGTTTATATCATCAAATCATTTTACTGAAGATTGATAAAGTAAAACAAAGTACTATGTATATAGAAATGTATTTTCATTATTATTATCCATAAATATGATATTTTGAAGAAATAAATCTAATCTGTAATCAACTGGGTTTTTTTTCACTCCTCACCAAAGAAACTCATCAATTTGCATGAACCTTTTATACATGCACCTCGACAACAATCATTTGCATGAATACATGGACTATTAGCTTGTGCACATTGAACACATTTGCCAGTGGCAGAACTTTTACGATTACATACCCAATCTCTTCCACAGCATGGACGAAATACTGTACATACTGTTTCAGGTTCTGAACAAAATGATAAAATTCCACCTGTTAAATAAGAGAGAAAAAAGTGATTGTATATACAGGAAAAAAAGTGCTATAAAATATCTTTGAACACATATGTAATAAAACTAAGCTACGATTTAAATTTTGGTTAATACCATTAATAGAAGAAATACATGGCAGAAACGTTTATGATTATATCATACATTAAAAGGTCAACTGGACTTTACTCCTAGTGTAGTGGACAAGAACACCAGTGGGGATCAACCGAATGTATTTGAGCATGAAATTACAAAATATCTCACTAAAATCTGAGAACCATATAGTGTCTCAAACTTGACTGTTCCTTTTAAAAATCTCAATCCATTGTCTCAGTTTTCACTGTTTGTGCATTTCCATATCGACTGCTGTCTATTCCCGTTGTTTCCTTCTCGATCTTCTACTGGAATACATTCTATTCCTGACTATCGTTATATTCTACTTATGTGGATATAAGTAGCTGACACCACAGCAGTAGTGTTTAGGTTAAACACATTTTTGAATTCTTTCAAGATGAGATTTGAAATTTCCCCTTACTATTAAGGCAATATTTTTTTCAAAATCAGTAGAACTTTTAAACTGTATGATTTATTATTGTAATTCATATTGGTGACAAAATATTCATGGTAAACCAGTTGTTAGCGTGGGTGGAAACTTATGATGAGTAAGTTGATTATTTATCTGATTAAAGTGCCCGCCTACATGTTTACTGTCTGACTATTTATCAGTGCACATTAGTATTAAGTACTATGTATTCACTAAATATAACCTCTTGTTCTATTTAACTGTTTGTTAATTGTTAGCAGTCAGTAGAGCAGTAAGTGCATCAGGCCACAAGTTTAAAATTATTTAAGGAATCAATGTGTTGTGAGAATTTCCAATCTAAGCTGCGATAAGATCACTTAGCTTTGTAGGACAACTAATTTTACTATAAACCCTGAGTAGTTACAATCTACCTAGTTAGATTAACTAATTATATACCATAGGTTATTGTGTTAGGCAAGCCGAAGGAAATATGGAAGTTACGTTTTCTAATGATTGTATAAAAGTCTGTAATACATAAATCAATACTGGGATATGCTTCAGAACAACTATAACTATCCAAATCCTAAATTCCTATAGTGTCACATAAAAAAATAGTAAATATCCACAAAATCCTCTTCATGGAATCCTAATAAATGGTTAAACTATGTTTTTGGACTGCGGCTAACACTAGGATCTAATTATTGCGCTCTGTTCTGTTTAAGACTCGTTTGTCTCTTTCATCTGCGTACACAATGAGATCCAAACTCAGTACTCATTAATTCAAAAAAGAACCCCTCATCCATTAACATATTGAATTAGTAGTAACTTGAAAGCACATGCTATGTTGAATCGTCTGCTAAAGGGTCTCATATCCTGACAGAGATTGATTTAAGTCACTTGTCTATATTAATAAAAGGGAAGCTCAAAACATCTTACACCAAACAATACTATATTTGACTAAACAGTGATCGATTGTCTTATGAACTAAAAGATGCCCAATTGGCAACACTATCAAAAGCATTCACTTCAGGTACAAATTCATTGAAACAATTACGCTAATTTCTGTTCATAGTGAAAAGTGTCTTTTAAATATACTGTAGTTTCGCAGCATGTTTAACAATTAGATTACATAATACTAATGTTCCTGTGGGGGAGGGGAATGGAAGACAGAACAAACTTCACTAGTATATTGTATGAAAATATTAAATACCATCTAATTTCTTTCTTATTTAAAAATGGCATTAACAAGTAAATTCGCGTTAATGTTTTCATTGAACGATTTTGCTAATATGACATTTTTCGAAAAATAAACAATAAATTTACATGTCCATGTTCATTTCTGTAATTTCACTTTATATCAATCCAAGAGTATACAGAACTGATATGTATGAACATGAATTCTATATTACAGTTGGTTTACGTTAAAATAAGCATATAAAAATTTTTTTTGAAATGAACAAAACACAACTATAATATTTATTAAATGAGATTATAAATCAATCAATGATAGACCTGGAAGCACTGAACGGTCATTGCGTTCCAGTATGGAACTGTTCAGCAGTGCGCATCCACCATCCTGTAAGCAGGATTTGAACCCAGGATCTTCGGTCTCGCACGTGAATGCTTATCTTCTAGATCACTGAGCCGGTATCCAACGGTGTTATAGTATATATTAAGACGTCGTTTTGTAGACTCATTTTTAAGGTGTTAGATATTTCAAGGTAGTCGACAGAAAACCCTAGACATAAGTTTCGCGCTAGTTGGTACCACTAGCCACGGGAATGATACTCCATTGTGGATTCTAAGCACACTCATATTCTAATAAATTGTCATTGAGTTACTTGGGATGAAAATGACCTCAAGCAGGCTCAAAAAATCCGTTATTGATTAATTACTGAGTAATGACAATATGAATTTTTTTTAGTTATTTTCCCGATGTTGTACGTGTGGCTTTTCATAAAAACAGTTCGAGCAAATATTTTGGATTGAAAAAGTACCCTCAACATGTTACAGATTCATTAGACGATGAATGATGAATGAGAATTTTTGTAAGCTCTATACCGAATCTCTGTTCATAATAAACAATAAGTTTTATTTGTAGCTACAAAAGACTTATACTACCCACGAGAAGCACGCATACTTCATTCCTGTCAATAGTCGGAAGGATTCTTGTTGAGCTATATACACCATTTTACCGATTCATTTAACCTTAATCCTTTGTGCTTTAATGTTATTTATCCTCGTTTAGTATTAAGACAGTTGATTAGGAAGAACCGCTAGTTTGGCTTTAGAATCTTTAATTATTTTCTTTCTTTACTAACAAGAATGAAATGTATCAGTTAAATGTTTTCTATGCAAATGAAAATTACAATTATCCACAAATTTTAACC